GGTTGGGTTGGGTCTGGTTGGGTTGGGTCTGGTTTGGTTGGGTTGGATCTGGTTTGGTTGGGTCTGGTTGGGTTGGGTCTGGTTAGGTTGGGTTGGGTCTGGTGTATTATTGTTATAGTACAGTTGATATGCAAGATCGAGTGAATTAACTGTGTACATGTACATTGTGTAACAATGAATTATGAGCATGCTGATGCTATGTGTCTTTCAGAGACTCGTCCTAGGACATGCATGTACTCTGTATGTACAAAACAAACCATACTGATGCACCCAGACGCTGCATGATCACCAAGAAGTTGTACATCTATATTGCTGCATGCGTAGGTTGAACCAAGTAGGACCTGTAAAGCTAGTGAGCTAGGGAGCAGGCCAATATAGAGTGGTATACCAAACCGGTTACATTGAGTACCAGCTCCCACAGCAGACACATAGAGAGCAATATTCAAGGCCGCCGGCCTTGGGAACTAGTTATTTTCCAACAACAATTTGGAAAGAAATATCTTGATATTATCACAGTGGTTAGAATAAATTCTTTTTTGGTATATCTGAAGGGACAAGAAGACTTTAAGCTCCCCAATCCTGAATGCCATCGGCGTTCTGATCTGCAACCATCTCGGCTCCATGGTGTTCGGCGCTTTCATCATCCTGCTGGTGAAGATCCCCCGTGCCATCCTGCTGTGGATTCAGATCAGGTAGGTGGGAATCTGGTCTGATCTGGTTTCAGCTAACTTGGAGCTGGATTGGAGTAGGGCTTTGTCAGTGGAAGTGATGATGTGGTGGGAACACGGGGTGAGTCTTTCTAGGAATCTGGCTCAAACTGGTTTGTTCGTGATCCTTTCAAGAAATACTGGAATATTGACTGGATAGTGGAACTGCGACTACTTTAAGTCACCCAGCCATGTAAAGCTTGCCAGATACGCGATACGAAATACGAAGATTTGAATCTTCCAAGGACTACCCCGTTTTTGTATGTATTACATTTGATGTGCAGATGTTTATTTAAATCAAGAATGGGCAACTTCATAAGGTATTAAAGATTGTCGGAGCTGTTCACTTTAATTCCTCAGCAAGTTGGAATGGAAGATGTAATCGTTTGGTCATTTGTTTCCTTGTCATTTGATCTTTTGTGTGTGCGTACTTTCAAGGTTGAAGGGTAAAGAAGGTCCAGTCGTCAAGTTCATCCTGAGTTGTCTGTCCTGTTGCCTCTGGTGTCTGGAGAAATTCCTCAAATTCCTCAACGAGAATGCCTACATTGTTATCGGTGAGTTATCACTGGAACTCATCGGGTCTTTCAAAGTACGCTGATCCACCAAGCCCAACCCCGTGGTCTTTCAACCAATCACGATGTGCTTTATGTCTGACAGGCGGGTACAACGTGCGTTGCGGCACGGGAGAGAGGCATGTGTTAACTGTCCACGTGCACAGTGGGCGGGGCTAACCGGATCGGTCTTTTGACACCGTAGTATTTTGTTTCCAGAATACAATGGCCTTCAGAATATGTGGAAAATTGGGACACCAAGGGAAGTAAAAATAGGATGGCAAATGGATTGTAAATGCAAAGTTGCGATGGTGAAAGAAAAGATGCAGATGATAAAAGCATTAATTTCTGTGTTCCAAAAGCATTCCCCAATCAGCTATTAATCTTCTAGTGTCTTCATTGCCGTACTGTGTTCTTAAACAGAACAAGAGCTCCATGTTGCATTGGGCAGACAAAACTGTTGATATGTGCCAGGTGGGACACTTTTGGTTGTTACACATAAATAAACTGAGATCTCACATAAAGGTGATGAAAAATATCCAGTTTAAGTTGATTGATTAGTTTTAGGTTTAGCAGGTGAGAGATTTTGAATGCAGGTATTACAATCAGGATATCTATTCTGCCAGACTGCACCCGTTCCAACTCTCAAAAGGGTCATTTTTGAGTGTGTTTATTCTCTGTGCACTTTTGCAGCCATTGAGGGTGGCGGGTTCTGCAGCTCAGCGAGAAAGGTAAAAAAAACATCTCAAGTGGAACATTTCACTGTGGCCAAAACCATTTTTCGAGTGCTGTGGTGTGGGACACTGAAGGGGTACATGGCACCCTTGATTGTACACTGTTTGCTTTGAAGCCTGCTTAAAATGTAGTCCAAGATTTCATCTTTGATATACAGTACAGAAACCATTAAAAAAGTTTGTTAATTTTCTGAGGGTTCAAATTTCCTGGTTATGGCTGAAAAGATAACACACATGCCAATGGAAAGCACTGGCTAGCAACTATTAAAGTGCCTTTCCCATAGACACGTCTGGGATTTGTAGCCACATGCAAACAAGTTGATCATTTGAAACTGTTAGTCTGGACACGGCATCTGTACGTTTTCAGGCCTTCATCATTCTGCTGTCCAATGCACTGCGTGTGGCAGCCATCAACTGTGTGGGGGACTTTGTGCTGTTTCTGGGCAAGCTGGCCGTCGTTGCCCTCACGGCTGTGTGTGGACTCGCCATCATGGGGGTGAGTGGATGATGGTTTTTAGGTCAATGAATGCCAAATTCATCATAAATTTTCAAAGAAAAACTCATGGATTTTCTCCAAGTGTTGAAGTGAGAATGGAATTTTCGCATTCCATTAAACATGGAAGAAGCCAGAACTGAAGTCACCAAAAGATGTTCTGAAGCACACATATGAAGTCAAACAGCAGTGAAACCAAGTGATTAAAAGGTCAAGGTGGTAAAAATTAATGTTGACAGACATTTCAAGATAACTACCAAATTACATTTGCTTCAGAAAATGGTGAAAGGATACTTGTCAAGGGCAGAAGTCTGTTTTTAAAAATGAATAAATGAAGTTTGTCTTTTCCATGCGTTGACTATTTTTCTTCTAAAAACAAGGTATTGTTTTACTGTTTAATGATATTAATGTCATTTTTTACTTCATTTGTCTGCATTCTTCTTTCTCTTACTGTTCTTCTATGTGTTATTTCCATTGTACTTATGATGTGAATTGTCACGCTCACTTGGTTTAACCTCTGAAAAATTTGTCACTTGGATCCTTTCCGATATTTGTTCAAATAGACTGGTTCCTTCAGTCTGTCGGTGAGTGTAATGACGTTAAGCTAGAGTTTGGGTATCATGATGCATGGGCCTTGAATGCATGAAGATACGTTTTTGTTTCATTTTGTTCTGGAGGACATAAAAAAGACAGACTAGGTTCAATAACCCTCCTATGCTAAGATACATTCTTGACACAGTTGTCATATCAGTCAAAATCAGTCAAATTTCCCATATGTGTCTGTGTACTGGGGGAAATCAAGTGGAAGGCATTTTTGACTGTTTTTGACGGTTAAAACAGAAGGAGGGATAAGAAAGAAACAAAATATAGCTTGTTTATGCTTGCTTTACAAGTCTAGTTTTGCAGAGAGTGACGCCCATTTGTTTTGTGCTTTTAATAAAGGCTCCATGCAACAAGATTTTTACTGATGAATTCTTGGAACTTATCATATGAAGGCTGATGGTCCCATAATACCTTCAATTTTTGAAGTGATACCGAGAGGTTGAGTAGTACAAATGCTACAGCAGAAAACTTGCCCAAATTGTGGGTGTTTTTGTTTTCTGCTTGTGTCCTGTTTTTGCTAGTCAATTCAATTTTTTTATTGGTTATCGTTGTTCATGACATTCACATGATTTCAGAATGTTGGATTTTTTTAGTGGTCTAATCACTCAAAATTTGCGACTTTTAGTCCATTGTAGAATAATCGTAATGCAAGATTCACATCATAGCAACTTTGGAGATAAAACCTGTGTCTTAAAAGTCACAGTATTATACTGTTGCCATAGTTCCAACCCCACTACTGAATGTTACACTAATTTCTCTTGGTCCCCCAATCTCACCAGTGCATTTAGTGATACATGGTGTATATGAAAACATTTTTTGTGGGGTTAACTCATCAAGTGAAAGCTGATCATTGAGGGCCCGCGAGCAGATCATTTGGAGCCAACTTCACATTGAACTGGGCCCTGCCATGTGGTTTCTGCAAGGCAGGAGAGTGACTGCCTAAACCAAGACCCCAGTAGCAACTCTCAGTTACTGGAAAGTTTGGAGAAGTGCACTTACAATAGCAGTACCCTAAATAGGATGTGCATTATTTTCACACAAGAACTGCACGTGGATTTCTGCCCCAAGTGTGTTTTGAGCATGAAATTCATTTCAATAATGCCTTTTAATGAGCCACTGAAAATTTTGGTTATAGAATTGTTGCCTCTGAACTTTGACATCAGAATACAGAAGGGACTGACTGCATATTTTAGGCCTCATGAAGTGTAAGTGTTAAAGAACTTACGTCAGATGCATTAAAAACCATCATCATCATGTTATGTTCATTCTATGTTTTCGTTTGTTTTTTTTCTTTCTCATTCTAAACTGTTCCTCTTTCGTTTGCTCGTTGGACTGTGTATTGTATGACACGTGGCTGCTCGTGGCACCATGCTCACTGAAATGTCTGATTCTTTTCACGACGCCGCCCTGTCTTGCCTCGCTGCCCGGATGCCCATGGCAGACCATGCCGGCGCTGAATTTCTATGCCGTGCCCATATTTGTGGCCTGCATATTCGCCTACCTGGTGGCCAGTGCATTCATGTCAATCTACGAGGTATGGCCTCTCACGAGGGTGCTCTGCAGAGGCGTCATTGGTCTGAATGTTCTGCAGTACTTAGCATACATATTGCCCGAGACGGTCTCCGCTTTCCATTCTTATGAGAAAGCTCAGAATTTTTCCATGCTTTCAAAAGTCATATTAACAAGGATTTCCTCATAAAAATTTACAGAACAAATGCCGTGTTCACTGTTTTTATGATTTAGTTCCATTTGAGAAGTTAAAACAGATCGTTTAAGAAAAAAGAAGAAAACGTGGGGGGAAATGGAATAAATTTGATACATTTTTGTTGTATCATTGAGACTAGTTTGAATCACTTTGACTACTTGTGTGACTGTAACATGTGTATGCGGGAAGTGCTGTCGTACCCTTCTGCCCTTGATGCCTTCTGCCCCAAACTGTCCTCAGATGCATTGACGACACATCAGGAGATGCTCAGGAAACGAAGCTTGACAGAATTGTGGAAACCCTGAGAACAGCCTTTGGCATGGCATCTGCATGGCGACTTGCGATGCTCTCTTGGTGCTGTCATTTAAGACGGAGAAAAAGATCCAAGTTGCATTTTTGTATAAAGAAACATGCATTTTCCTGTTCCATTTGTGTCCCAAGATGCCGCTCATGCTAGCCAGCCAGTCTACAGCTGGGAAACTTGACAGAAAATACTGGTCTTAGGTCTTAACGAGCTTACTGCTGTCTCTTCAATGTTGCTTTATATTGTTACCCATTTTCACGGACTTCACATTTTTACTTCTGATGTGTCTGTCGTCACAAGCTGTGGACAGTTGGCATTTTGGCCTTCCCAAAACAAATGTCGGTTGTTTTGGGAGGGCCATCTGATCTAATTCAATTACTCTCTTAAATTTGCCCTCCTGTTACTTTTGTATCCCGACCTCATCCCCCACCCCATTCGCCCCCGTTTCCCCCACCCTGTGTAGACCAATGAGACTCTGATCTTCTACGCAGTGTCTCTGTTTATTGGATGTGTTTTTGCCTACTTTACGGCCTCCTGTTTCCTGAGTGTGTATGAGGTAAGGCGGGCGGAGCCAAAGATATGATTGACAAATGCAAATATGGATGCGGGGGGCTATGAATATCTAATTATGAAGGGCTTTGTTCATCCATGATAAGCTTTGTTTTTTTGGGGGGGTGACAATAGACGTCTTAAAAATCAAATGGAAAAATGAGTTTATTGGTTTGAAACTTGAGGGGCCTTGTGATACTGTTGAAAAATGAGGATTACAACTTTTGCAAATATTAAAGATTTTCATCAGCTGATTACATTTTAAAAAAAAATGGAAAAGCTTTATAAAATGTGCCAACTTCTTCTGTGAAGAAGACTGTAATAAGGCCTTATGTCTGAGACAAGTCTGACCTACATTGGGTTTCAAAATTGGTAAGATTTTGACTATTTTTGTTCCTCTTCCATGACAACCAGAACCCTTGTCATCCCTGGTCCTCTTACACGATTTAAAACTGAAAAATTTGATATTATATTTTTGAAACTACTGTAAATTCTGATGATTCAGGTAAGGTTAAATTGTTATAAAGATTTTGCGTTAAAGAAAATATACTCTCTGTTCATCACGAAATGTGATAATAGTGGTAATTTCTGAGTGTTTTTACCTGGACGTAGGACGTGGAAATAAGTGCATTGTGCAGACTACATTTATGAAGAAATACTGAGAAGAACCCGGTGCTCCTCCACAGTCAATTACAAGAAGTCATCAAAATGCACCAATCCATTACACAGTGTATTAAAACTAATCATGCAGAGGTAGCGCTGGATCTTTTCTTCAAGTGATACAGTTGTGCAATGCTTGTTGCCACAGATGGCTGTGGACACGCTGCTGTTGTGCTTCTGCGAGGATGTGAGGGTCAATGATGGATCACCCGAGAAGCCCTACTTCATGGATCCCGATCTCATGGTGAGTGACTTCCGATAGGCTGATGTACTGCTCCCAGCCACAGCCAGTTGATTCAGATAAACCCTTACACATGTGATACTGCTAAATCTTGTTCTTGTAACTTGCCAATCCTTCTCACATTCTCTCATTTAAGAGTGAACGTGGCTAAGCAGCAGTGGTTTGTTTTCAATGTGTTTTCAGGCTTTAGGCATTTGTTAAGTCACCCATAAGTGCAAGGTTTTGCATTGTAGTTGACAGTTTTGCTAGTAGCTGTAGAGAAGAAATAACAGCTTAGTTTCTAGCTTAAGTATGCAGGCAAAGTACTGCTACAGGCCAGTGATGTAGCCAGGTTCTTGTCAGTGGGGAGCAAGAGGGGGCGGGGACAAGAGGGAACAGGGAACAGTTTCCTTCCTCCTCTCTCCCCCCCCCCCCAGCCTACACTACTGCCACAGGCCGGGCAGTCAAAATCAAATGGTACACTGAGCAGTTGCTGACAGAAGGCTCTAGTTTTATTCTTCATGTTCTTCTTCTGCCCAGGCCTTTGTCAGCAACAGCAGTGAGGCCCTGGCCAACCTCAAGAAGAAGAAGAGGAAGGGCAAGCTGCAGGCCGTGCCCGGGGAGGATGCACCCGACGCAGCCACACCTGCCCATGTCGCCCTGAAAGAGGAAGAGGATGAAGAGAGGTCCTCCCCGCCTGCATCCGGGGAGGTGAAGGAAGGAGCAGAGGAGACGGCCCCGCTGAGGGACGGGGAGGAGAAAGAGGGAGCAGAGGAGACGGCCCCACTGAGGGACGGGGAGGAGAAAGAAGGAGCAGACGAGAAGAATGAAACACCGAAAGACGAGCAGTAGATAGCACAAGATGCGGGGAGGTAACATCGAGAGGGGCAGAGAGGGTTGCAAGTGGTATATTGCACACTGGACAGTTCAAAATGTCGATCATCAGGATGGGAGGGTGTACATGTGAAGAGGTCAAGTGTGGGTCACCTTACAGTCCATATTCACTTGAATCTGAAAGCCTTGGGTAACCAAACCATGTTGAACATCATTGTTGCTTGAATGTATTTGGGGAAGAAAGGTTGTTCCTGTTGTTCTTCAACTTTGGGATTTTTTTGGGTTTTTTGGTGAGGACTTTGGAGATTTTATTGTTTTATTTCATGGATTTGGGAAATTATCCATTTTGGAATTGTGAGATTGAATCTCTGTGAGAAATATGAGAAACTGGAATTTTTGGGCTGGGGATTATTGTCTGCAGTGGATTCGGAAAGGATCAAGGGATTGTGCTTGCCAAAATGTCATTGGTGTTTAGAAGTGGCGAAAAGTTTTGGTTGTGGAGCTGCTCAGTCAGTGTTCTTGATTTCTTTAGATTGCATCTAGATGTTCAGAGTAGTGCTTTAAGGAGGTGATTCAGAGGTAGTTGCTTTGTGGAGGTACTTTCAGGGGGATCAGCAGTACCCCTCTAAGGAAAGGAAATCCACTTTTGTAAACTGTTGTGGTTCTGCCAATCAGTATGGTGGCAACTCTAGGAGGGAATGATGGTTTTGTTGTAGGGTAATATTGTGTTAGCAAATGACAGTGCATTATGCATGTTACTGTGTTACTGTTGGAAATATAAATTTCTTAATGGTTATATTAGTCTTTTTGGCTTAATATGGGAGGGGAATCGGGATACATCCAGCTTGACCCCCTCCCACTTTCCAATCTTATTGCTCCACCCCTTTTTTTCCCCAGCCATTCTGGTGTCATTCCAACGTGTTGACAGTCAGGAGCATATAGTAATCATGCATGTAATCTACTTATTCTTCTAATGTGGACATTTTACCTTGTATCATGTAGTGAGATGTATACACTATTATCATGAATCTATGAATTAACTGTTAATAATTTAATGATGAAATTGTGGGAGCTTACATTTATTGCTGTGCCTTAGCAACAACAGTTGTGGTGATGCTGGTATTTTCTGCCTCGAAAGGTCACATACATGTAAGTAAGAGCCCTTGGTATGACATAAGAAGTGTACAACATTGCATCTTGTGTGGGCCGTCATGGTACAATTTGCCCATCAATGAAAAATTTTTCTCTCTGGAAACCGATAATTGTTGCACAAGTTTTTGTGCTTTATAAAAAAAAAAAGAAAACAAGAAAAAAACTACCGGTTACACTGGATTACCAGGTGCTGTTTAAGTCTTGTCCTCGTGTGCTTGAGCAATTGCTATCTCTTGTCTGTAGTATAGATGTACATGTATTGCATGTACTGGTACGTATCTGCTGAAATGCATGAAAGTGCAGGTATTATTTGAAGATTTAGTATTATGATGTCATTCTCTCATGATAAGTCATTCTGAATTCTGGGTAGCATAAAAGTAATTTTAGAGAAGGTTGCGGGAAAAGAATTTTTTCTCAGGTTATAGTGTTGTGTATATCTTTTTTTGGTCAGGAGTTTAAGTTGATTGTGTGCATGTGATTTTGTTTTTTTTGTGCTGCTTCTGTTTTACATTGAGGATACCTTTGTGTTGATCGTAGGCCCTGGATTTATGTAGTCTGGCAGATTTGTCATGCGAGGCAGTGGACATAACCCGTGCCCTTGATGTATGAGGGCCCCATCCTAGAAGTAATACAGAGAGTGTAAGACACCGTGTGCCAGTTCCCATGCAAAGATGGTGTCCGTTTGTGTTCATTCACACGAAAGTCATCCGCAAATACTCTGTGCCATAGGCTTGCTAAGCCCCCCTCCCAATAAAAAACCACTTCTGCTTTGTATTAAAGTACATCGGGAAACAGATTTAGGTCAGGAGGAATTTTTTGGCCCTTTTTTTCTGATTCAGTGTGCAGGCGTGGCATACATAGTGTGGACCTCTGCACAAAGGAAGTCCACATCATGTAGGTTATGGTGGCATGGTGTGGACTCGCACACGTCCACACAATATTTTCCCCTCTCTGAAAAACAGTTTCAGAGGCATCTTGGGGTCAAGGTTATTTGTGGCAAATGAAGAGCAACACTCATCATCAAAAATCCAGCTCGGAGTTATCCTAGTAGGAAAAAAAGGAACATCTACAGGAGAACAAGGGAATGTCCAAACACTTTGTATGTAAAACAGGTGTGGGTGTGCAGCTAAGTGTTAATGGGTTAAAAGATAACAGCCAGATGGGTCAGGTAGCATTTGGTTCAAGTGAAATGAACAACATTTTAACTGTAACCTGCTCAGGATTTAAACTCATATTCATTGACAATGCTCATTCACTTGTGTAGAATGTTTGAGGGTGAAAGGGTACTTGTTGCACAACCCCCTGCCCCCCCCCAAAAAAAAAATTGGGTCATGCCATCAAAACAGGGTTCCTGCGGCCTGGAAAAGTCATGGAAATTTTTTTCATTTTCCAGGCCTGGAAAAGTCATGGAATTTGGTAAAAATGACTAAAGTCGTGCACAAGTCATGAAATTTTTCAAACACTGTGGGATTTCTGTTATCAGAAATTAGTGCAAAAATTTGTGATTTTGTTTGCAACTTTAAAAGTCCAAAGAGTCCAAGAAATTGCGGTATTGAGTCATGGATTTTCATACTTTATGGGAAATTCATGGAAAAGTCATGGAATTTAGTTGTCCTTTAGGTGCAGGAACCCTGCCAAAATAGAGTAGGTCAGGGCACAGGAAGTGTAACTTTTTTTATGTCAACAGTGCATATGCATCATTTGTCTTTCATTTTAGGATCTCGTGGTGAGGTCACACAACACTTTCTGCCGTTCCTATCCTGCTTGGACTGTGAACCAATAAGGAGGGTTGCGTGTACTGTAAGATGTAGTGGATGTTGGGTTGAAAGTTATGGCTTGGAATCGTACATGCATCCATGAGAGCCAGTGGCTCAGTGGCTGCAGCCACTTCCCATAGCCAGGTGTGTTGCTGCTAGCCATAGCCAGAACTTTGGGACACAGCAGTATTCCAGCCATTTATAACTGTATTATCTACTGTACATGGGATTCCAACTCGATTTTTCTCTTTCATGTCAGTATTTGCGGTGACAAATTTTCTTGCCTTTTATGATGTAATGGATAATAAATTCAAGGTTCCCTTTCAAATCATTTTGCTTTTGCTGTTGTATGAAAACTTTGTTAGATTTTTTGAGTGCTCGTCCCCTTATTTACTTCTTTTATTTCTAACTTTTTATTTTTAAATAGTATATTCTTTCCACTTTTGACAATAAACTTGTGATCATTGGACAGAGTATTGGATTTTTAAACTAATATCGTCTCCCAGCACCCACAATAACTAAACTAATTGTCATTTTTATGAACTTAGAAATGCATGTACCTGTATTCAGTTTTGTTGTTAGTTGACTAGTCATTTTGGAGATGTGATGAGAAAAGATTACAAACAACACTCCCTTTTTTGTACCAGAAACAAAGGATGTTTGGATCGCTTTGGCAGGGATTTTTAAAGTTATACCATTCAGACATCATTCAGAAACTGCCTTGAATTATTATCACTGGGCGATATAATGCCCTCTGCCTGTGCAGTTTGTCAGTAAATAATGATTTTAAAAAGTATTACTAAAATGATGACTCTGTATTAACCCTCCTGTGCAAAGATGCAATCTGCACCAATTTGTCCTGTCAGTCAAACTCAGTCAAATGACACATGTCTATGTGTTGTAGAAATTTTGGACTGGCTGTTATTGTTACAACAAAAGGAGATTTAAGAGGAACTCTTACCAATTTTGTTTCAAAAAAGTGCCCCTGAATTGCCACTATAAAAATCAGCTGTTCAGTTCGACTATAATTTTCCTAAGAAGTTCTTACATAATATTAAAGGTGGTTGTTGCAACCCATGGAGGACAGGGTGAGGGTGTATTCATTTCCTTATTAACCCAAAGGGTTGTGTGCCCACTAAGTGGATGTGTTACATTTTAGTTCATGTGAACTTTAAAAAGAACATCTTTACCGAGGACAATCTATAGAACATCAAAGAAATGAGTGATATTTTGTCTGTGAATCATCTCAAATACATACAAGATGAAATGAATTGTGAAAGGGCTTATTCTTTCTTAAAGATAACCTTCCTTTTTTACTTCTGCTTTCTACAACTGTATATTTTGAAGTGATATTGTAGATATAATTTTTTGCATTGTAGTTTATGTTGTGCTTTTGTTTTTGATCATGCAGTTAGAATAAAATAAAGTGAGACTTCAGGAAGTACCAAATCAAGCGAGAATTGATCAGTTTCTTGTTTCATTCTCTGTTTTTGCTTCTAGTTAAAATCTTTTTACCTTTGATAAAAAGAGTGTCAAAATCATCTCAATAATAGACCTATGTACTAACGTCACTTTCTGTTTACATGCGTTCTTTCCTATGGAGCCAGTGGGGACCCACTGTCCACTGAGCACCATTGGAAAGCACACATCAACTAAATGTGGCGTCAATACACAGGTCTATCAATGCTGATCTCGATATAGAATACCGAAGTTTGATGTCATTTTGAACCAGAAGTGTAGTGCAAACGAATGGAGTAACCGCGCCTGTTGGTTCACGCGCTGTTTCTCGCGCTACTGCCTTTCCACATCTAATTGTCCATGTGACGTATTCACTTTGGTACTCTGTACCGATGACACCACACTTTGCACGCGTGCTTTATGCTCAGTGGTCCATGGGCCCCCACTGGTTTCATGGAAAATCGCACATGTAAACAGTGTGACGTCAAACATTACATAGGCTTATTGTACATGCAAGCCATGCTAAGGGAAACAATGTGACATGCTCACAACTCAACATAATACTGATTTCATGTACGCATACATGTAACTTTACCTAAAAGTGAGCCATGCAAGAGAGTCTGGAAAAGTAGACAGTAGTTAAGTTTATGTTAACATCAAAATAAATTGCTTCAATTTTGCACAAAGCATGCATCAGACTTAATCCCCATTTGGACTGATGCAAATCTGGTTAGTTACGTGTATTTGGTTTTCTTGAAACATGCAGTTGAACTGATTATACAGTTCTCTACGCATGCAACATCACATCTGTTCATCCTCGAGGAAAAATCCAATCTGGCATCCCTCATGACCCATGATGGTAAACCAGGTCACCATCCTGGAGAGTAATGAAAGCTGCATTGGCAGCGACAAAGGGCCAAGGCCTTCCCCTCCCCTACCCTACCCAGGCGGCTCTACCTTCCCCAATCCTGTGAAATCCTACAAAATCTTCCAAACCACGCAACACCCATCTTCATCTTTTATAGTATACGGGCCATCAGAGGCTAAAGCAAAAGCATCGGTGCTAGTGTGTTCTTTTACATTTACCCCTGTCACAGGATAAAAGGAACTGCGCCGTAGTTTGAGTGTAGATTTTCTGTGAGGCCGTCACAAAAAAGTCTATGGGTAACTTGGCCTTCTCTGCTTGTCAGCCTGGTGCTTTGTAGGTGAAGTAGAGGTTTCAGGGCTGCAGGCAACGTCAGTTTGCTGTGCCACGCTTGACATCCCCATGAGTCTGTCACAATTCTGGAGTTCCCCCTTGGTCTTGTGTTCGTCCACAAACCCATGAGCCAACATCAGCTCACAATGAGGACGGCTGCTGTGCCGTGCTAGACTCCGCCCTGACGAGCCCGTCGCAGTACTGGAACTCCCCGCTGGCCTCGTGCTCGCCCATGTCCAGCGCCACCACACAGCTCTCCCGCACCACCCTCTCCCGGTCCCCCAGGTAACCCCTCAGCTGGTCCAGGCATCCCTCCTGGGCGATGGAGCCCAGCGCCTCGGCGCACTCGTGCCGCACCATGGGGCTCTCTTCCAGCTTGGCCAGCGTCTCCAGGAGCTGCGGGATGCAGGCGCCATGCTGCATCTGACCCAGGACGTAGGCCACCTCGTGCCTAAAGAGAGCACTCTTGCACTGAAGACCTAGTCATGAGGGGGTAAGGAATACAAAACTCAAGTCAGCCAAGGGAGAGTTAGGGAAGAAAGCAAAAGATAGAAACAAAATGGATGTTATTGCTGAAGTCGTGATATTAGATAAAGAGGGTAAGTACAAGTAATGATGAGGAAAAACCTCAACTTGGAAGATCTTTCAATCAGTGTTTTTAAAAAAAATGATAAATTTCATACCTGATTTCACAAGGTAGACACTAGGAATTAGTTTTGAACACAAGTACCAAATTTCATTTTTTTAGGCCAACAATGTGACAGTGAACAGGAGACGACACAAGACTTGGCTACTTGAACTCGTCCTCCAAGACGAGTCCCCAAAAATGACTAAACGTCATCATCAGTTTAAAGGCATTTGTCAGTGTGATCCCTGTGCCATCCCCGAACTTGATTTCAAACAAATTATTAGCCTGTGTCTGATATACTCGGCAACAACTCGGAAACACACACGGTCTACGGAAGCCACTAGTTAAAGGCAGCAGCCGAGTCATTCGAACACTGCCTTACGGCGCCCACAGATCCTTACCCTGTGCTAACACCCGCACAGCTGGTTCATCATTCCTGTTCCTAAGTGCAAACATGGCTCGATAGCGGTCAAACAGCGGCACATCCTCGTCCAGCAAACTCTCCTGCAGCTCCTCAAGGGACCCTGGGAGGGATGGGGGTGCTGGATCTACTGACTTGAAGGGGTTGTCCGAGATCTGGCCCTCCTCCTGCGCTCGCTGCTCGCTCTGCAGCCACTCTATCCTCTGGATGGCTAGCTGGCATGTCTCTGCAATCTTGGTTGTTCAGAAAAAGGTTCCGGTAACCTCAACTCCCTCGGCATTTTGTAAGGACTCTTCCTGAATTTTCCAAAATCCTCCACTATGCGGGAAACATTTTCACAGGGCAACAAGTCTTTTATGAATTAACAGTGGCCCTGCTCTGCCTTCCTTAACTCTGCAGGGCTTCTCCCGAACCTCTAAGTGAACTTTTGTGAGAGGGTTATAATCAAATCAGTCCTAACGGAGGTACAGTTAAGTATGACACGATTAAAAGGCAATATCAAGGGATGATTTTACAGAAAATAACTTAAGACCAAAAGCAAGGATTCTTTACCTCTGTGATGGGATCATGCTCATATTTCTTCAAAATGTTCAAGATCTGTGGTGATCCGATGGCTCCTAAGGCTTCTCCTGCAAATCGGATTTCAGTGTAACATTTAGCAAATTCTATTTTTTTATTTTTGTGAAATTCATTTTCCATTCACAACTAGAATTAAAAGCTTTGGTAAGAGTTCCATAAACAGATGTGGGACCATCCTGGCTGCTGCTGTGACTTGGAAACACACATCAGGCCTGGGCAAGACACGTGACGTGCTGTGCCATGTATGTATAGCTGGGACAAATTTTCTATACAACACAAGATGTTATCCCCTGCCGCCGAAAATGGTCGAGCCAAGATGCGGAGCATCATTGGTGGGTTCAACCCATGCACAGTCTGATAAACACGAACAGCATGAACGAAGCAACAGTCAACAGGTGGAAGTGAAAAATTGGTGAGCAAAAATCTCCTTTATTTAAAAAAAATACTCCATCTAGTAAATGCTCTGAAACTTGGTATCCTGCTCTTTAGGAGGTAGATCGATCAATACATTAAGCAGGTGATCTGACAGGGGAAAATTTGATTTACTAGCTTTCTTACATCTGTGAACCATTTCACCACAAAAATTTGATTCCAAAATGCCACAGCGTTACAACGCTATGTAAACCTCGTCTTCTCTAAGTCACACGAAGTATGATGGAGTAGTGTGACTTAGTATAAGTATAAATCAGCCTATATTTAATTGTTTACACGGTGAAACAATTCTCACCTGCTTCGTGTCTCACGATTGGCTCCTGGTTGACATCTTCAAGCACATCGACCAGCATCGAAATAGCCCCTTCATCCTGCATCTGGCCCAAGCAGTAGGCACACTCGTGTTTCAACAGGGCCGAGTCATCGGCAAAGCACCGCCCGATGCACGCTAAGGCAGCAGGGCCTCCGAGGTTGCGCAACGTGAACAGGGCACGGAATCTCTCCGGAAGCGGTCGGGCTGGGTCCACTAGAATGGCCCCTATTCGCTCGATCTTACCAGTATCCTCGGGCATGATGACAGTATTTGAAGTCAAAGAAAGTCTAGATGGTGAAGGTGGAAATACTTCGCAGAAAATTTGAGCAAAACTACGCCGTAGAAAGTGTCTGCCTTACTTGCACTGTGTACATGCGTAAACGTCTAATAAAATGCATAGTTTGCAGCCGGCCAGCCTCATAATAAATTAGTCACATGTGACGTCGACTGTACTAAATGAATGCCGCCCTCCGTCGCTCTCGTGTTGTTATTTGTGGCGCTTCATACATGATAGATTGCGATGCATTGAGGGCGTGCTTCAAGTTGAACGTTCACCGATTATGCCATGTCACACTGATTATGCCATGTCACACACACACACTATGCATCAACTTTTAGGCGTATCTGTTACTAAATGCAGATTTTCTCCTGGAAACTAAATGGGTTGGTACATGGGCTCTTACTAATCACTGTCACGTCAACACATATTATTTACTAAGTGCACTTAACAGGTCATGATTCGGTCTTGTGTTTCTTGAGACTTGACTTTGTGTGACTAAGACTGGCGACCATGCACTTACTGAGGACCTACATGTACATGTACATTCATAGTATTAATACATACAGGCGTAGGATTAGTAACAGTCCCAAATCCTCCAATTTCAATATGATTTTACATACCCCCTGGGGGTTAGGGTTAATGAAACAGCACTTCAATTTAGCTGTTAGGATAGATAGTCAAACTTGACCACTAGCCTGGATGAAAAACACCGAAATTCACACTTTTGTTTTAAATTTAAAGGCCTAGCGATAGGAAACCGCAGAATTTGTATTTTTTCACAGATTGCTTCGACGTAGGCTTGCTGACATGACAGAGCAGCATGCAGCAAGAAAAATGTACAGTTTTACAGATGAAAATAAGTGATTGATAATGAAGTTGGAACTTAATTTGAACTTTGCAGTTAGGCCTAATTTTTTTCACACATTCATAGAGGATAGCAAATGTCATTCAGTTGAAAAAACAGTGCAAATTTTGTTTACCTTCTTACATGTATTGATAACAAGCATGCACGCCTCTCTTTCTTTTAAGGAAAAAAATTAAACATTTGTTTTCTCAAACTTGTTACCTCTTTTCACCTCTTAATAGGATGTACAAGCCCGGAAGCTTTCTTACACAGACTGGCATGTGAAGGTCACTGACCTCTGATTTGGCTCCCGTGAGTGCAGTGTATCACTCCCCACTGCCACGCCCCCACCCCATCGTGCTCCATCCTATCATGGCCGTCTACAGCAAGTGGATCGGCACCATCGTCGACACGCACGGCCTCAAGTACATCTGCTTCAACCACATGGTGACCACCTACATCCTGACCAGCATGGTCATGTTCCTCATGACCCTCGTCAACCTCTCCTCCGCAGCCTCGCCCCGCCTCGCCTCTGTGGCCATGTCGGCACTCATGTCACTCTTCGTGGTCACCCTGTCCATCAAGTTTGCCTACCAGATGGCCCACAGCTTCAAGACGCAGTTTGAGCTCCACTGATGCAGAATTCACTGCTACATGTAGCTCCGTTCTCGACCCTGCATGAGACATTGAACCATTCGTGGAGTTCGAAATTACAACTTTTCTAACCTCTCTTCTCTCTCCAAGATTGTGACTGAAATCGGAGTTCTTCCACTGAAACTGCCTAAAACCTTCACAAAAGGAAGAGTGTGATGTTTGAACGTCCAGCATGTTCAAGCTAAAAACTGTAGTGATACACTTTTCTTTAAGTGAGACCCCAGTACACGGTCTTTTAATTAAATGCTGAAAGAGACAAAAAAGAAGGTTTTTATCAGCCCAACTGTTAGAATTCTAGACTTGTCACAGTCTACTTGCATGACCCTCACAGATGTCCAATAAGCTACAGATGTGCAACATTGAATCCACGATTGAGGACTGCGCTTTATACTTCCTATGCTGAGCCTAGGCTTCTCGTACTATGCTTCCCGCCTACCTTGAGCTGACGGAGACCACCATCGACCGCGTGGGCATCAAGCACATCTTCTTCAACTTCCTCCTCTCCTCCTGCATCTCCACCAGCCTCATCCTCTTCATGCTCACCATCGTCAACGCTGGCTCGCCGCGCCTCACGGTGGGTGCCATGCTATCGCTCACGACACTCTTGGTGCTGACACTGTCCATTGAATGTGCTCACAACATCATCTTCTGGCTGGTCGTCAGCCACGAGGTGCAGGGGGTTCTGGAGCGCAGGAGTATCTAATCACTCACTCAGAATACTCAAGAGCTCTTTGACACGAGTCAAACTATGAGTAAAACTTACTTGCCTAATATTGGCATTTTGAGTGGATGCCGTGTACTTTTTAGAATCACAGAGTTTCTTTATCTACACTGTATTTTAGACACTCCTTGTTTGAGAAATGTTGACTCAGTTGTTCATCAAATGTATACTTTAGTTACTCATGAGTAACAAGATAAAACATCAGATTAGCACGTACATGAATGGTATCTTTGCACCGATAAGTTGAGAAACTTTTTCAAGACTTGAATGCCTGACTGGAGCTCAGCCTTCAGGCGTATGCAGCATATCTTGCTTGATTGTGAGCCGAAAACATCAGGGGTATTCAAGTGAAGAACCTTGAGTTTTTAAAGTTAGGATTACAATTTCAGACACTCTAGTAGTTATTTGCGTCTGAGATTGTAAGAAAAATAGATGGCGAGTTTTTCCGATGAAGAGGTAGCCACCATCTCCAAGAGGGTGGTTGTCCTCGTGGACTCGGAGATGCACCTGCAGCACCCGCAAGAATGCCGGGTCAACCAGGCCCTGCCGGACACAGCCGACTGCCCGCTTTACGCCCTTGTCCTGTGCTGCTGGAACAACATCCTGGGCCCCCACGCCAAGTGCATCTGGCTGACTGAGGGCAAGGAGCAGCGCTTCACCGCCAACCACATCGCCTACCTGTCCACCCACACCCTGACCTCCTGCGAGCAGCCCCAGTCCACCATCGACACCAAGGTGCTGATCCTGCCCGAGCGCGGCATTGTGGCCACGGTCTTCCTCTTCAGCGGCCACGACTACGACGAGAAGACCATCTTTGCGCTGTCGCTGGTCATCCCGTACGAGGAGTACCGTTGGTATCTGCCGTTGCACGAGCTGTGCGTGGCCAGGCTTACCACCATGATAAGAAGGTTACGGGTTCTCCAGGAGAAAAACAAAGATGAGGTAGGAAAACAGATCTGAACCCAAGTAGTCCATGTGCTCATCAGCCACTCAGAGAGCCAGTGCCCTTGTGACCCACAAAAAGCTAGAGCGGTACTTTTGTTCATTCACAAGTACTAACTTCAAAGAAACCAACTTCATAGCCTTGAAAAAAGTGGGCGTGAATGTCTAGAAGCGTAGAAAATGTCCACATCTAGTTCCAGGACCATTTCCTTGAACTGTAGCGGTTCATTGGTGAGGAGTGTGGAATTGCAGTTGAGAGAAACCAGTTGGTCAAAACTTGCATGTGATTTTCATTGGCTGACATTTAACTCGGCCCAAACCTGTAAGATGCTATGCTGTGTAATGTCATGAGGCCTTACTTAAATCATGACGGAGAATTTTCAGGACGGAAAATGAATTCGTTCAGGTGATGTGAATGATATGTGTCGTGACGTTAACATGAATTTAGATTTTGAAATTCTGGATTTCTTTAAAAGAGATGTGTAATCATTGTCTACTTGAAGATTTTAGCAATATGTGACATTTGCATACATGCAAATCTGCTTTGGAGTTATTTTTTCTCTTTTTATCTAGTCAGTAGGCTGAAGACGTGTCATTAAGTTATCGTTAAATTCTAATATTTTGTCATAACTTTTCCCCAAAATGACAGAATAATGACTCCTCTCTAATGGCATTTAGTGATGAGGTTCCTTCCTTTATTCGAGTGGTGACCCTTCTGAAGACCCACGGTCTTCCTTCCAGGGTGGAGGTATTTTTGTCTTTGTTACTTACCTCTTAGTACAGATGGGCTTGATATGACTGTATGGCATTTATTCTTACTTTGGCTTTTGTTAGTTTCTCCCTTTTTGGTTTTTTTTTTGGTAGGGGGATGTGGGTTATTTTGTTTCATTTTTTCCTTGATTCTTTGAAACTTTAACTAACCTGAATATACATGTATGTTATAACACTCTAAATCTGCAAATTGAGATCAGCATGGAAATCTTAAATTCTTGAATAGTTGGCAAAAGTGTACTGCGTTTTGGAGGACAAAAGGCTTAGTTTGAGAGGTCATTCGGAGGAACAAGCGTTTTTTGTTTACTTTTTTTTGGTTTCAGCTTGGCGATACCGTATTTGCCCCGGGCCATGCCAAGCAGTTGGACGACCAGTTCACTAAAATGTAAGTGGAGATGGACTCCCTCAGCCTTGTTGCTCGGGGTGATCTGAGTCAAGCTCTCACACTAGAACCTTATCTCTCTTCAGTCTGACAAGATTTCCATGTAACCAAAATTTTGGAATTTTAAAAAGGAATCTGAGCCTTTTTGCATCTAAGAATTGTTCTACATGTAGCTGCTATTAAGTTCCCTCATTCAAATACAGCACACTGAAGAATCGCTCTGCTGATTTCTTTTGGGCTCTGGCAAACAAAAGTTTACTGGCTCATCTTTGCCAAATTTTGACAAATTGTCCAACTAATACTAGGTTACAGAGCCATCAAAGGGACCTTTGAGCTACGAAATCATCCAGTGAGGAACTAATTACAGATCATAATATCAGACAATCTAGGAAGACCTCAGGGTGTCCTTAAGACTTGCCTATTTTAGCGGTAATCAAGTCTTTCATTCGTCCTCCAGAGCCATAGCATCACATCTCCAAACCTGCGGCTGCTCCATCATCCTTGGCAACACTGCAGCGGATGTCAACATGGTGAGTATCATTTTCTCCAGACGTTGGTTTACAGTTGTGAGCACTACTTTCAACTCAAGATGTAGCCCTAATGTCAACTGATTTGTGCTGGCAAGGCCTCGCTCCATTTCAAAGAGACTTCTCAGCAGTTTGTAAACAAATGTATGCTTACTCCTGGTGGAAAATGTTGCTTAAGTCAGTGATGTAACACTAGAAGTCTCCATGTGCATGCTGTCATTAACACTTCCTTGTCATGAAATAGTGCTTCAGCAGCAGCCTGGTCATGCTAACAGTCGAGCAGGGCTGTGATATTGAGCCTTAGGCATAACAGAGGCAGCACAAATTTTCTGAGCAAGTTCTGTGAGCTGCAGATGGGAAGAAAAGCATGGAATCCTTCAGCCAGTGGAGCGTGATGATAGTGGCGTTTAGAGGCTGTCCACATTTCTTCCTTTTGCTCGATTTCACAGATGATCAGCACGCTGGCTTTATTCCTGAGTCCAACAGAGAGGCACTGCTGCCTCTACTTGGACGACGTCCCAAGAGTCTATCAGAAAGATGTCCTGATTCAAGGCTTCCTCAAGGTAGGAGAAGACATCAACTTTGGAACCTTTCAGACTCTTTGTCGTTGAATTTTGAGTGATCCGAGAACGGTTGGGTCGAATTCAAGCCACCCAGCACACTTTATAAAGTACACATCTCCATTGCCTGCGGCTTCAACTTTGGAACCTTTCAGACTCTTTGTCGTTGAATTTTGAGTGATCCGAGAACGGTTGGGTCGAATTCAAGCCACCCAGCACACTTTATAAAGTACACATCTCCATTGCCTGCGGCTTCTGCGGTACAGGGTGCCAAATTGGTACTTCAGTACAGAAAGTTCAACATGTGGAAATGTTGAACACTGCCAGTTTTATGCAGTCTTTTGTGGAGTAATTTTTTGGGAGGGATTTAGTCCAGAAGTTTAATGACCGTACCACTTTTCCAAAGTAGTGCTTTACAAATTGTGCAGTTTTGATTTGGCGTATAATTCAAAGGGAATTTTTTTGGGCCCACCAGAACTCGATCAGCCTGGATGACTACCTGCGGGTCATCATGACCAGTCAGTATCCAACTACCCTGATAGATTTGGTGACGCTTGAAGTGAAACAGACGCTGCACTACAACCAGCACGCATATAGGTAAAGATGCCAAGACACTTGCGTTTAATCACATGCACTTTACCGAATTTCAGTTTTGTCCTATAGAGTACCAAAGTGAATGCGTCACGCGCACAATTAGTGTGTAAAAGGCATTAGCGCGAGAACCAGCCCGTGAACCAACACGCGCGCGTACTCCATTCGTTTGCACTGCACTTTCTGGTCCACAGTGACGTCATACTTCGGTACACTATTGACTTCGTCAGCTGATGTTAAAAGATATAGTTGAACAGTGGAGTCTTTTCTGGATCCGAATTTAGGGGAAAGGGTGCCAGATCCACTCACAGTAGGGTGATCTTTAATAACTTGTTGCTGGTAAACTGTTGAGGAAACTGATCTGTGCTGTGGCATTGCCAGGAGGGGTAATTGCCCTCTTTGGGAACTTATCTTTCCTCCCCCCTCCTCAGGAAGAGCCTGGTTATGCCACTAGATCTACTTTAATATGCTAGGGGTGAGATTAGTCAAGATTTTTCCTGATTTCAGGAATTTTCCTCAAGATTTTCTCGATGTAGAATTTTTCAAATAGTCACTTTCCCCACCCTGGAAAGTCCTTGAGTTTACCATTAAGGTGTTTTTACGTAAAAACATTGATACAGAACACCTGAAATGGGTATTTGAAGGGCTGCAGTTTGGGAAACACAAATGTATACCGTAGCCCCTTTGCTACTGTAGGTCACTTCAAACCTCTGGTGCTTATTTCGTGGATATTTTCCAATATTTTCCAATCTCAGCCTGGTATGTTTGGAGTCCTAAAAAATGTGAGTTTCAGTGATACCCCATGGCAATATTGAATCCTATGGCAAGACACACTTCCCCCCCTTGCCTGCTACACCTCATCTTAGAGGAGCATCAGGACTGGGTGAGAGTAGATTGCCTCATTTTTGCTGATTTTGTTGTCGTTGGGGAGTAGAGATGTGGGTTCGAAATCTAACAGCCCTGTTGTCGTTGGCTGTCTGGATTTTTCAGGCGACACGAGGCCACGAGCCAGGAGCTGCAGTGTCTGTGGTTGAACAGTGACGAGCCACTGAGGTACTCGCCCGTGTAAGTGACCTGGGTATTGGGTTAGGGGGCTGGCAACAGAGGCTATACCCTGAAAGAAATTGTTTGGGTTAAATTTTAATCCAAGTGAGGCGTGAAACCTGCAACTGCCCCAAATTTGGGGAGTAAAAGTCAAATTCTGGGTTCATTTTAAGCCACAAAATGCGTCAATATTGACCACTGTTTTGTTGACGATGGAAGTAATTTAAACACAAAAAATGGATCTTAACAACCTAGTTTTTTGGTTGTTGCAGTTGTTATTTTTCAGCAGGTGTTAAGGGGAGCAAGGAAGGGGGAGCCCAGTCCAGAAGGAGTTTTTAAATCAGATGAGTTCAAACTTTTGCGTTGGGATATCCAAGCAAGTTGTCTTTCAGCAGAAATGGTGTGTTTTTCATTTTTCTTTTTTCAAAACAGTGTTCACTTCTCCAACAAGCCCGAAGCAGAAACCATCGTGCAGAAGTTCTGGAAAGAGGTGAGGCAAGTTTACCTTTGGAACTAGTGATTCTTTGGGGGCATACTTTGTCGGCCATTTGGAGGTAAATGAAAGTCAGTGATTGGTGACAATGATAGATGCCTTCTTTTTTTTTCCAATTTTTAGTTCAACTTGCTAAATTCAAAATGTGATTTCCGAGGACAAAATACACTTGCCATCAAGGCAGAGCTTGTGCCAGCTTGGGGTTGGTTGCCGCGTTGCTATTCTCAAATGTTGAAGGCATTCATTGTCTTCATTGTTACTTCCCACGGATGCCGTTACAAATGAGAAACACATTTTATACATTGTGGTGTAGTAAACCCCTTGACAACGGGAATTTTTTTCCGAAAGCCGACTCCAAGAATCCTGCCTCGCTTGGCCACGAAGGCCACCTGCCAAACCGCAAAGTCTCAGTTTGTGGCCCTGCGTGCTCTGCACACTTTGAATTACACAGTGAAAAGGCTCATTGTTTGGTGGAATGTGGCTCTACTCACGCTTCCACATTCCTGTTGCCGCTTTTCAAAGTGGGGACTATTGTGAAGCTGGTGATTATGATGCAAATTCGGTCTTTTCATTTCTGGGCTACACACAAAGGCCAATCACTATATATACAAGAGTCAGTGTCTGTTTGCTTTCACCATGTTTGCTCGAGCGTGGGCCGAGAATAATAGCTGAAAAGCGGGCTGAGGATCTCAATTTTTATGGCAGCTCTTACCGTCTCCTGGCGCGAAGGGGTTGAGAATTGCCCTAGTCAATTCCCAGCTGCACGCTTGGTGCTGCAAAAAGTGCACCGAGGCTGGGCATTTCCCTTCACAACGAGCCCAAAACTTGCCCTCAGTTAAATTTGATAAAGCCTCTGTTTATTTCAAAAATGTGTCTGTATACCAGATGTTATTAATTTGATTTTACTGGCAAAGAGCCAAGGTATATTGATTCTTACATCAAGCTGCAAAGAAAGTTTGGAAACCTCAAGGAATGGCATGACTTTGACCCAGTGAGCTGTGTTTGTTTTAGCCTCAATCAAATTTCTTTTGCTTTTGATTTTAACCAGATCAATCGATTGCAGGACAACTGCCGAATACGAGAGACCTACATTGAAGAATTCCTGCGTCTGCTGGATCGAAAGGCGGTGTCCCTCATCAAGTACGTCGAAGAGGAAACGTAAGTTTCAAAAAGTTTCCTGTCTCAAGACGTGTGCAGTTTTACTACTATGCAGCTTTGACTCCACCTTAGGCTTCCCCTAATTTTTCAACCACCCGACTTGAAAGTTGTGAGCTCACTTCATAACTCAGGTAGTGCTACCGGATCATCGAACGGCACGTCACCAAGCAAAATATTGCAGTGTTTCTAGTTAATTGGTACACCGTAGGCCTACATGTGGGGATTGATTGTTAGAGACGGAGACGGAGACAGTTGATCTACTTTTATGCAATAGTGATTTATGTGTTAACTAAAAGAAAGCACAGAAATCAACCACAAGGAGCACACAGTGTGTGACTTTTTGGTGGTAACCTGTTTTTGCTAAGCAAATATTTTCTGTGCTCAGGCTATGTCTAAGGTACTTGGCACCAGCTCGACATTACACATAACTTTATTGGAAAAGGCTGCAGCCACAAGCACAGATTTATGCATAGCTTCAAGCCACAGCCAAGTAATTCAGATACAGCCTTAGCAGATTTCTGTGCTCAGCAGCTAACTGAACCAGGCTGCAACTGAACATTATGGCTACAGTGTGGAATAGCCTGTGCACCTGTGCAAGCCACTGGCTTAACGGCTGCAGCCACTGCCCATAGACGTGTGTGTCACTGCCGACCACAGCCAGTTAGTTGGGACACGGCCCTGATGAGGGATACAACGTAGGAGGAGTTCAAGCGACAGCTGTTTGTCGACTACTGGTTAATTTTTTCCTGGTAATCTGTGTACAGGACATATCCTTGGGTACTGGCCAAAGTTGACCAGTGGTTGGCAAATGGTTGCTGCTCCCAACTTTCTGGTAGGCATGTCTTCATGTGAAGTTGGGCACCTATTTCCCTTTCTCTTGAAAGTTTGATAGGGATAAGAAAAGGCAAACTCAACTGATTCCACCCTAAGCCCACGCCCTTTGTGGCCCATTGGCCTTGTGTTGGGCGATATCTATCGAAAAGAAATATTGCACAGGGTGTTTTGCTTCTGATTGGAAAATAGACATTTTCACCATCCTTGAATTTTAGGAACCGAGGCACTAAGCCGAGCCGCTTGGTGCTGAAGCGACTGAAGAGCGACTTGCACTTGATACCAGAAGGGGATTTCCGCATCGTAATCGCCATGGCCGAGAAGCTGCAACCGGGCGTGTACACGCTGGTGTGTGGCAACCCGGCTCTGCCCAGGGATTCCTACAACGACTTGGTCACACCGAGCTAGAATTGGTTCAGCTACATTGAGGTTTGACCTGGTGGCGTTGTTACCACCTCGGCGAGCGCCGAGAATTGTGGTCTCAACAAAAGGAGAGAACGACTTGGTCTCATGGTTAATGAGACAACAGTGGTCACTGGCAGACATGACCCGGCCAGATGTGACAGAGATATGACATGGCTGTGCAGATGACCTGGTCACTTGGGGTCAAATGACCTGACCAAATTGTGTGATGACTGTTTGGCTCAACTATGACCTCCCTGATTGAGCTTCAGCGATCAGAGTAGTGACCTTGTCACAGGAATATGACCTTGTTTCACAGAGATATGACCTACCGGTAGAGTCATGACCTGATTGCTCAGTTGTGGCCTTGTCAGCATTGGGACTTCCGTTACAACGAATCATAACCTAGCAGCAAAGTTGTAACCTGCTCACTCACAGTTGCGATGAGGTCACTTAGTTTAATATGACATGAGCATGTAGCATTCCATCCCAAGGGTGGATCACAACCCTAATTTTGTTTGAAGCAGTCTAAAATTTGGAATTTTTAATGGAATTTTTAATGCAACTGTGGCCCTTGTGAGGAATGAAACTGCACTTTGGGGCTTTGAACACGCTTCGGAAGAAAGGGATATTAAGTAGACAAAAAAATTGCCTTTCTCTCAAGTTTCTAAAAGAAGCTTTTTTTGTCAGGGGAGGGAGGGGGACCATAGCCATCATTGGCTCTCCTGGATCTATCCTTGTTATAAGACCTTGTCATAAACAGTGCTAATCCACTTGTACTGAGTAATGACCTTGTACATGTACATTGTAAGCTCTGTCCTGTTCGTAATTCTGCAATCCCGGCAGTGACCCCCACGCGGAGTGACCCACATTGTTTATGCAAAATTCATACCCACAAAAAAGAGTAAATGGCCACCGCGGCATTAGCCTTGCAGGTCATGGCTTACGTGTTATGAATGATGCAAGGAAATATAAAGTAACGTAATCATTTGTACAGCCAGACGAAATGATCCGCTGTAATCCACCCGCACTTCTGAATGCTGGGACCTGGAGATTTCAAGTCTGCTTGTGTGTGTATCGACAGTTCACTCCTGTATGCCATTTTGTAAAAGAACCGAGCATTTGGGTACCAAAGAATTTGGTTTGTGCCAGCTTGTACAACATATAAATTGGCTTATAACCAACAGTACTTGATGTGTTATTCTAAAGTGTTAACCTTGTGCTGTAAATCAAAACGAATGTATGTAAATTGGAAACTACTGTTACACAAGAGACTAAATTTATCATTATTTAGGCCACTTTTTGCTTAAGGTGATCAACTCTCTTAAACATGTTCTGGAAAGCCTCAATGTCTTCAGAGCCCCCCCCCCGTCAGGTAACCAGTAACATGTTTATACTGCAATCCCCAAAAGAAAGTCCTCCAATCGTTTGCTGTCTTGTGCACACTAGCTATCCAGGGAACATAGTTTAATGGATTTCTTAGTACCATTTTGGGGGAGGTATTTTTTGAGGCACTGCCATACAGTGTGATAGAAGTATATTTCATTATATTGTATTGGTTTCCAGAACATTTGGACGACTCAACCAACCACTGCCAATCATATGTATCCGTCTTTAATCAGATTTATCATCAAAAGTCGAGTTACTCTTATTTTATGCCCGTAACACGTTTGCCCACTTTGTGTGATACTTCATGTCATGTATGCAACTTTTCCCAAAGGAGGCCAAGTGCAATACTTGACATTGCATAATTAAATGAGAAGTCAAATGATTGGTCAGTGTTTTAGTTTGAAACTCAGCATAGTTTTCTCGGGAGTTTTGCTAAATGCTCTTCATTTATGCGAATGCAGTGCACTTGATGCCCAAATCTGTCCACATGGGTTGGAGGTGCAGCGTATATATCTCCCTGCAGGTGTACAGACCACGGCCTGATCCAGACTGAAGCCGTCACTGCAGAGCCACCTGTTCATTCGCAAGTGGTGCCACGCATGACTCCTTCGTCTTTGACTAGTAGGGTGTGGCGACTTGTAAAAGTGCGCACGCGCTATAGAATAAGGACTCAAGCGTGAGTATAGTGGCTCCTCTGTAATAGCGTCTCGCTCAACCTGGTCTAAAGGGCTACTTCATCAAACAAGGACATGTCTTCTACACGTCTTAAATTTATAATCCAAATGTCGGCACGAGGACTGGAAGTAGTTGTCCCTGTCTGACACTTTGGGTTTTCTCTAAAGTCCTCATTTCAACACCGCTGGCTATTCTCTGTTTCTTTATTGTTACCACAAATAACAGGTAGGCCCACAAAATGAAATGTAAAGTTAGGCAGTTTGATATTGAGTATGTGTCTAGAGTGTGACACATCCTAGTTCACTTCACTGTGATCCTTAGGCAACTAGAACTGCCTAACCGTTATGACGTCCTTTTGTAGCCCATTGCTGTCACTAGGGTACAGTAAACGTCAACAGAAACCACTCTACCGACTTCTCGGCTACCGTGAGTGATCAGTCACTCTGGTCATGTGGAGTACCGATTCAACCAGCTTAGTTTGACTCATTTGGGAAAGTGCTGGCCAAATTTCTGCGAAAATGATCTCTTAATAGGAGCATATTCAAATTGATAGCATAGTGCCAGTACCGTCGAAAACAACCTGAAACGTCACCAGATCAGCTATACGTTCAACCAAAGAAAAACATGATTCATTATGCAACAAAATCTGCAAAAATCAGATAAAGAATCCAGCTGAAAAGTGAAAAATCTATCAGCAACACCTCAAAAAGAGCACGATCGAATTTTCCTACAACAGGAAATGAGGTTTTCGCGCAACGTAAATCCCGTCGAAGTTGCTGTAGCGGATGTTATACTGGATCTGGAATCCTATCTCCTGTAGGAAGTTTGGCAGCTGCAAACCGTTCTGGTACTCGTCCATGTAGGGCTCGGGTCCATGCTGTCCAGTGGTGTTCCAGGGCTCGCCCCACGTGCTGCTCTCCACGTTCATCTGGCGCCATTCCGGATTCTGCCAGTAGAGAACTGCGTTTCGAAGACAAAGCGATGTTTGAATTTTTGAATCACTGTTAAAGTTTAAACCATCTATGATTAAAAAGTGCAGCGGAGAAAACGACTGTATTGATCTGAAACCACGAGGTCGTTCCACTATTATTATAAGCTTTTAGTGAAATCCCTGGGTTTCAACCAAGCCCCCCCCCGCCAAAAAATCCACCTCTGTGTCGTCCCATAAAGGTTTTGAAGGGTGTGATTGCTCGACCACTTGTTTGGATGACACCCCAGGGTGTTAGCCTTAGCCAAATATTTATGAGACATTGTGAAATTTTGTCTGTTTGTGGTCTGTTCTCATAATGGAGCTTCCGTTCGATGTACTCACCGTCAAAGCCACTGACCACACCCTCCGGCTTCAGAAGGCGGTGGATCTCCCGGAGGACTCGCTTGCTGTTCTGCTGCGGCATTTCGTGCAGCACGTACGTGAACTGGACAATGTCGAACGACTCGGACTCGAACGGCGTTGCCTCCCCGTTCGCCTGATAGAAGAACACGTTGGGTGCGCCGCGCTTTTTCTTCCACATGCGGCAAAATCTATGTCATAGACAATTTTGATTGTAAGCTCTTAGTATCAAGTGAAAATGGTATTGAAATATTTTGAATAATAACGCTAAACTACCCCAAACTGCCTCTGAAACTTTTTTCAGAGAGGGGAAAACATTGTGTGGACGTGTGCGAGTCCAAACAGCGCCATCATACCCTACATTGTGTGGACTTCTTTTGTGCAGAGGTCCACTCTATGTATGCCACGCCTGCGCACATGTTCTGTGTTGTATTTTTTGTTTTTATGTAAATACATGTAGTTGTAGTGTATAGGTGGGTGTGTAGACTCAGAGCGCAGAATGTGGAATTCGTACTTTTGTGTTCAGAGCTACAGAAAAGATACCAAACTAGTTTGAGATCACGTGCTTGGGATGAAACAGGAAAATTCCCGTTTCGTACCAACCTTATGTATGCTGGGGCCAAATCAATTGCTATGACTTCAGCGTTAGGGAATATCTCTCCCAAGGCGAAGGCAGAGGCACAGGTACCCGTCCCGATCTCCAAGATTCTCTTGGGCTTCCGTTGACCATGGAGCTGCTCCAACCAAGGCTTTATAATCCCCTCACTCTCGAAATTGAACTTGTTATAGGTGCTGTAGGACATACGAACAGTATGGCCGTTGAGATAACCGCCTGGATTGAAATGGACGTATGTCTTGTCATAGTGGTACGGGTATTCGACCGGGGATGTGATTCCCGGTGCCCAGACGTCCGAGTGGTCGGGCTCGCCGGCGAAGACGGGAAGGGTCGCCACGTAGTTCTCGTAGTACTCGTAGAAGGCCTCGAAGCCCATGTCGTCGTGGCGGAAGGAGCGCATGAAGATGTAGTTCTCGAACGGGGTGACGGGCTCTAGCGTGTCGTCCTCGCTGTCAATGACCGGTGGTTCGGGCGCGAAGGTCGGCAGGTGGTCCACGATGAGGAACTTCATGAAGCTGAGGTAGTTCTTCAGGTACTTGGGGTCGTTCCCGTCCCAATTGATCCCGAGGAAGTCGCCGTATAGAACCGTCTGAGCCAGCGAGTTGTACTTCATGAGCGTGTCCTGGATGTAGGCGTCCAGGCTTTCTACGGTCGCCTCGGCCTCGCTAGGAAGCTTAAGGTCCTTGTAGTACCAAGACTTTAGGGCATCAAACAGCTGGAAGTCGGTGTAGCTGCGGTGGATGAAGCTGTCTGCTTCCTCGCCATCTTTGGTGAGGGCGGTGAACTCGATGCGATAGGCCGGTTGACCGCGGAAGTCCGGTCCGTCCAGGGCAACCACTGAGGCTCTTACCGGGGTGCCGAAGATGGCTTTGGGGAAGTAGGAAGCTGCTGCCGGTAGAGGCAGCAGTGCGACTCCCAGCAGAAAAGCAACTTTCGAGAAGAATCTGAGATGTATCATTCTGCTTTCTTACCTGTCCAAATGTTTAGAGGTAAAGCTGTTGAGATAGTGCTTTGCAAAACACAACCGCGACCAGACAGTCCCCGTCTAAATTGCCCACATTCTGTTGATGGTGGCCGCGAAAGGACGAAACTGGTATCCGAGAAGTATAGACACTATTGATTCCGAATGAAATTATATCATCCCGTTTAAATGTACAAGACAAGGCACCCTGAACTAAAATTTCCCTGTACAGCAAAGGGCAGATGCAATCTCGAAATATCCTTTCAGCTTTCAAGAGAATGGTCTCTTTGGGCCACCGTATAACCTTGGACTATGGATGATGTGCCAATAGTAATGCCGTTATCTTCCACAAAGTACAAAGTTTGGGATTGTATTATTACGATGACCAAAGGTTACCATCAGTTTATTTCAACATGGTAGTCTTATCGGTTATTCTGTTTTTAAGGACGCCGACGATGCACAAAATGTTACCAAATAATTTAATGAAAAAGATAAAACGTGAATAGAAGCAAGATAGAAATGGAAATATCACGGCTTCCTGATCATGTGACAGTGTCAGAGTTTTGCATAGCATAAAGTTAACTAATTTATGAGGAGATTCGAAATAACCTTGTTACCAAGATTATTTCGACCTTTTTGAGTACAAAACTTTTCAGAGTGTGTGCCTTCGTTCTTCCAGTTCGGGTCTGCAAGAGATGAGTGGATCCATTCAGGACGTGTCACTCCCCGCGCACCTGTGTAAAACCTTGGAGGCAGACACTGAACTGACCAATGAGTGTTGATTTGATTGACGACCTTCACTATGACCCACCGCAAAGGGCAAGTTCGAGCGACGACTATAGTTAACTATAGCTCGACTGACATTGCCCGAACGATGAGTGGCATCTACAGTCGACCATTTGGGACCAGGCCCAGGGGTATGGTCACACCGCTGGTTATCAATAACCGATTTCATTTATCACTATAGAGGGAACCATTCACATGAAAATAATTGTACGAGTTTGTATTGACCCCGTGCACTGTGAGAATCGCAGCCATCAGTGAAATGTGAGTAACAATCAGATTTTTAAAAATTGACCGACTGGGGTCGTTCCAGTGTAACTTAATTGCGCATGCGCATTGTTCGCGCCTAAACGCAGAACGTGCACTGAATGTGCATTACTTACAGCGCCCTCTATCAGCCGTTAACTGCGCGTTATTTATCTCCACCAGCTCAATAAGGTTACAACTTGTACACAGTGCTTATGAACGTTTAACAATTTATTAAACTGTTAGCCATTCGGCATAACATGCTAGAATTTGAATTTTAAAAGATAAAACATGAATAGAAACATGGTAGAAATTGAAATACCAAAGCTTCCTGATCTTGCGACAGTGTTAATGTTTTTCATAGCATAAAGTTAACTAATTTTTGAAAATATTTATCTTCACCAGCTCAAAAAGGTTACAACCTGTACACAGTGCTTAGGAACGCTTAACTATTAAACTGTAGGCTATTTGGAATTTTTTAGGCAGGTATTGAACATCTTAATTGCTTGAAATGTTAGAACTACTACTGCTAGATGATGGATTAGAACAAAAGCAAGACTATTTCAAGGATGGATTTGCGCCGGGGAGATGTAAATTAATTTTGGATTTTTGCCCTACCCGACATGTATTTAACACTGTATACTCAGCGTATGCAAAGACTGTCAAATAAGGGTATTTAATTTGGGCCTTAGTACCTTTGCAGGGGATTCATTTCTTGTCGGGAACTCAATTATTTTCTTCGAAATGGCGCTGTTCCTGATGAAACAATTTGAATTCCTCCAAGCACCCAATTTTTTTCTGATGGGAAACTGCGAATGTTGTAAATGGGCTTTTTCTGGACATACATGGGTTTTGTGCAACTAAGATCGCAGGGACTGAGGTATATAAAAACGGTTGGTTGGTGACTTTGTGAGCCCTGGGGGAACATCTCACAGCCGGCTCTGGATTCAGTCCAATGGCGACTGAGATGAGGAGATATGTGTTCAGATTGTTTGGTGAGCCTATTGGTGCAGGTCATTAGCTCACTCGCGTACTTACTTCCTTGGGGGTAAAGTGTGAAAGCTAGGCTCGACAGTGTGTCTCGCTCGACTGATAAATGAATATCCGTTTGGTTTATGTCGGCCTGTCGTCAGCGCATGGGTCAGCGCCTGATATCTTGCCTGACTGGTACCACCTTGTGGATTGTTTGATTTCTAATAATCTCAAAAGTGCTCACCCATAAAAGTGAATTACTACGATACTGAAATTGGAAAACTTGGTCATATTACAATTTGAGGCTGTCGTGTGGAGGGGGAATTTCTGGGTTTTTTATGTATGTTTCATTCTTAATTTAGTTCATACATTTTATTTTCACTTTATTAACCATGCGCAAAATGTATTTTCATCTTTCTCAAGTTACTGCGTGCTTTGAACTCTTGAACAGACCAATTAAAATCTTCAAGCCGATTTCCTGCACAGTGATAGACTTTTCAAGCATATAAATAACATGTCCATAGTTTGTCACTAACTGAATTAATAACAGACTTGTGCATTGCTTTGGTAAGGTTAAGTACTGTACACGTTGTACGTTAGCTTCCCGAGGCATAATATATGTTTTAATTGAATTCAGGAAGACTCAAAGTATCATAGATTCAACATGCCAACACCATCTGGTAGGTAATTAAGACCAGAAGAGTTGTGTGAAAAGCTTAATGGAAACAGATCGCGCCATCGTACTCTGATTCAAATCCTTCCAAAGCACACCGCATAAATTTCTGTGAATGACTGCCAACACATGTCTTTTTAACAGCGCATTCTGCTGACCAGCATCTGCGCCATAAGCTGATATGACGTCATGCTCCTGCGTGACGTCATTAGAAAGGGCGGACAATTTCTCTTCCAACCTCGCATGCAACGGTCTGACGATTCCGACCGCCTGGCTCTTCTGATAAATATGTGGGTATACTTGGACGAAATTGACCTCAATATGCCAATTTCAAAACATCGACGGCTGCAGCATACAGGCCAAACCCCATACCAGTAGAAACCGCAGATTGGGAATATTCAATGAATGATTGAATTTCGATCATTTGTTGGTCAGTGGGGAACGGCAGCGGACCATGTTTTTTGTGCGTGGGCCCCGCACGAGTTGTACGGAGGAATCTGTCAGTGCGCATAACGAATCAAATCAATACACAGTTTGGCAACGGCCCAACTACATTTCAATGGTTTAATAATTAAGCATAAATTGATCATTATCATTCCTTTGTACAAGAATACCCCAGCTGACGCAATGCCGAGTACAGATCGAGCCAACTTTAAATTTAGACCAACTTGCTGAATGACGGTCATAGATGAACTTGAGTGTCCTTTGATTTAGAGATGTTTAACTATTTTAAAGTGACATTATTGATTTGAAGATTTTTACTTTTCATGATTTATTTCCTGACTGAATTGGAACTTGATGCCCACGTGAATTTACTTACTGAGCCAAGTTTGTATGTAATATGATCACAGTATCTTGCCCACGGATCATTCCTCATCAGTAAACAACTTGTGCACAGGACAAACCGAGGCCTTTTAAATGAATTTACTTTAAGGCCACAGTCGATCCATCAATGGACATAACTTTATTTTTAGCCCCTGAGCGCTTCAGGAAGAGTCCGTTTCCCACTCACTGCGTGCCAAGCATCCATAGCATCGTCGGGATTCCGACGGGGGCTTGAGGTGGCGTGCTCGCTGCATGACGTCAATCTTGCGCGAATCAACTATGGATTAGAATCCCAGCAGGGCCTCCAGCCACATCGCGGTGTCGAGTCACGACATTAAATTCCTTCTTCCGACCCCCCCCCCGCACAGTGACAGACACTGAGCATCTCAGCACATCATAGATGACTTAAGAGTTCATGCCAAAGAATCGAACCTATGTAATCCAACGCAAATAATTACCCGGAGGATGGAGCGGCACCATACGGAAGCGTTGAGGGGACACGATGAAAATTAACAGAAAATATTAAGTCATAATTACGACTAAGTCTCATAATTATTCCATCTACTTAAAAAGTCACAGACCTGTTTGTAATCGTTATGGCACCTAGCTGCCACGTGTACATTAAATTTCATTACTATAAGCTCAGTTTTATGTGCTTTAGCTAAGCCATAATTATATGAGATACAAATCTTAAATATGCATGGCTTACATGTTATGAACAGTCGAATAAACCAAAATAACAACAATAACAATAATACTTGGTCATAATTGTGAGATGCGAGTCAAAATCATGACTTTGCCATTAAGAAAAACACCACGTCCCCTTCACGCTTCCGTAGCATCCAGTGCAAATGAACACTATAACGTGTAGTTGAAGAACAAGTGGGTGTTCTGTGATGGTCGCCTTTTTTTCGAAGTGCCTGCATTACTGAACAACTAACTTGTCATTCACAAAATGTTGCCATTTCAGAAATATCCGGGAATTATTCACTTATTACAGTGTAGTTGGGCTGTACTCAATATTTCAGTTTAATAATGTTTTCCTCCTTTCAGCGATTCCTTTGTATCAACACCGAATACAACAGGCACTATTATCAGAACAAAAGAATAAACTGTCACATCCTGAAGCAAGTGAGCATAAAAACACACGGACTTTAAGGTAGTCAGCTACAATAATTTTACACTTCAGTACTCTACTCTGTACACAAAATTTCATACAAATCGCCATTTTGAAAGCGATTATCCTACTCTTATAGTGTGGCTAAATATTCATTAGGTATGCTGTGACCTATTCATCTGCAGCGTTACTTTTATCTCATACGCTCAATTTAAAACGAGAGATTGTGAGACGCGAGTATACTGTTCCCAGAAATCCAGATAATGGTTTCCTGTGAAAAACCACAGCGGATAAGCAATCACTCTGACTATACTGTGGGCGAGCCGGCCGATACGACCAGTGATATCCCTTAAGTTTCATGGGGCTAACCACGTGAAAGGGTCAAAGGACGAGGAATGATATTCGGTGACATTCATACGAATTTTAAAAAAGGACGTGTTTTGTGGGAACAAATGGAGTAAATTTCCACCTGGGCCCAGAGGAGTTTTGCAAATTTAAAGTGGCCTTTGAAAAAAATCTCTCTCAAAGGGTGGTATCGGGAATCGTTTTTTTCACCACACCAAAATAAACTCAGAGAAATATAAATAATTGAAGGCGCATAATGTGGGTGTGGGTTGAATTTGAAGTTGATCCCCGAAGCAAGAAGTGCATAGGAATGGTATTTAGTTGGGATGGAACGTAGAATGAAATGGAATACACTGTAGTCATTCTTGTACATGTTCACAGTCGTTATTAATTATTATAAAAGAGGCTCGCCTGCCAGAAAATAAACAGAATTTTTTTATATAGATCAACTAGGCTGGTTTTGTTAAATTAACATGTACATGTAATTGACTGCATTTCGAAGAAAATGAACATTATCACAAATCAAAATACGAGATCACTGCATAAAAGGTCTGCCCTTTAATCTCAAAATCAACAAAAATCTAATACAGGGCCCCACAGCTAGCCAGACAGTGTTTGACACTGCATTGACGTCACTGCGAATGCTGAATGTTCAATCTACAAGTCAAGTACATGTAGGTTCGTGTGGGAGCTATCTAGTAATCCCGCACGATGACAGGGTAAGACACTGCTGTCACGTGGTCGTTGTCTTCGATCACGACGATCAGCAAAGAGGTAGCCTCAACACCAGCCAATTAATATTTTAAAATTGGCAGATGTTGGTAAGCGGCCTGCCCTGAGCCCATCCAAAATCAGGCAATTGCTGCGTAAATAATGATCATTTATTACCAGGAGCTCCAAACCGCAGCTCGAACTCTGCCATCATGACTTCGGCCAGAGGCGCCATTTCAACGTCTTGAGACCTCAGCCATCATAACGATAAGCTGTTGCTCGTATATAGTCAACCAGCCTGGCAAAAACAAAATCACCGAGATGTGAATAAGTTTAATTTGAAACCTGTTCGCAGTTGGTTGATTGTGTAGTCGTACGCCCCCTCTCAATTTTTTCGCCTTGCCCGCATGTTATTTTGGCATGGAACCTTGTCAAGTTAATGCCAGCTTATTTTGCCAAGGTTACTTTGGCATCCCGCCAAAAGTCGCACAACGAAAAGAACATGATGTTCACCATGCCAAGAGCAACGTTTTACACATCAGCAGTGTCATTGTTCACACACGTTTACTGCCCTGGAAAATGTCCAGTGACAATGACCGTGACTAAGCCATTCTTGCTTAACACAAATAAATAAAATGATACTGAATCGTACTGTGTTTGTATCATAAACAAGCTTTATCATGTATACCGGTACTTGCATCGTGTAATTATTTGTACACTCCATGCACTTTCCTTTTCCCCCACAGAAGTCCATTTAGTATATGAAAGCCGAATGTTTGACTACACAAGCGAAGTTACATTTTTACTGTTACACCTAATGGGCTAAGTTACACTAATTTGCAAAAGTTCAGTATTTTCGTCGCTTGTTCCAGAACGTCCCTTGGTTGACAAAGTTAGCACTGGAATTTATTCGACAAAAATCCAAAATGGATTATACCTACAAACATTTTAAATCGTGGTTGTGAGAGTGCAGTGCCGATTCTGGGATGGCCGGGGAAAGATACTTCTTCACGTGACCCCCCCCCAAAAGTCCATATTTATTAAAGCCACTTGCACTTTCTGCTGCGTTTTATGCACGACTCCGATTGTAACCAGATCCGAACAGTATGGATAATGCAATTATGCTGATATGCCCTAAGCAGACAAAATGGCGGGAAATTAATTGCTTCAATGGGAAGCCGGCAAACTGTAACAACTCGGGACTGTCGGTGGAACACCAATTTAAAATGCATACTTATCAGGTACTACCAAATGCATTTTTACATATACTTTGAAAAAGTGCTGATGCACAGAACCTGCAATATACCATGTACTCTCATTTTGCCAACTATGGGCCTATGAGCTGGACCAAGGGGGCACTTTTTTAGTCACAGAGGCTCCTTTGGTCGGAACTAAACTTCGCTGGTTCACGATCGACTAGGAAATGCACGCGTCACGTCGACTGCATCGCTGCCAAAGTTTTGCCCAATCGGACACCCAAGTATTTGCAGTTACAAGTTGATGTCTCAAATCTGCTCTTCTTGAATGACCACTTAAAACTTTTCAGCAAGTAAGCCGTACGTCAAAATGTTAGTTAGTGTCAAACGAGCACACGACATTACCCAACAAATTTGTAAAGACAAGGGTGTGATTAGAAACAAGACATAACAGTAATATTGAGTTACATTGTACATTCTAGGCAAGTTAATACTTTATAAAAAGGATTCTGAACGCCCGACGTTCCTTTGATTCATACAAGTGGCTGTCTAAGGCAATGATTTCTCACATGTCCCCATCGCTTGTGGCGTCGAAATTGCAAAAGTCGTTGCAGGGTTAAAATACACGCTGTGTTTCAATATTATTCTGAATTTAAAGGATGTCGGTTATGTCGTTTCAATGAATGGAGACCACAGCGGCGGATGGAGGAAGTCGGCAATGGCAAAGGGAAATCCACGAGGCCCGCTAATCCGGGAGAGACCGCTGTGAAATAGGAATCCAGCCCAACTTTTGAATTGGATTTAAGCCAGTCCACAAGACACGCGACTCGGCTGATATTAAAATTGTTTTCTGCTGCATCCAGTGATCTTTATCTGAATAATAGGCTCATGCCTTATAAGGTGTATTTTTCAGAGTTATTTACTGAGATTTTTTCAAAGTTTGTTTTTATAAGACACGAAATCGAAGTTGAAAATGAATATCTCTGGAAAATTAACTTGGAAATATATAGGCCTAGTAATCCAACTTGAAAAGATGAACAAAGACATCGACCAGAGTGATCCCTGAGTAATCCGTGTTCACCACTTCCCAGGTAGTTTCGTGGTATTTGGGCGTGATCTCCAGCTCCATGATATTTCTTCTTCACCTTTAATGACTTCATGGCTAGCGCCCCCTTAACAAAGATATTGACAAAATGGGAAAAGCTACCAACATAGGGCTGGATAGCTCAGTTGGTAGAGCACCGGTACGGTATTTCAGAGGCCGCAGGTACAAATCCCACTCCAGTCAATTTCTTTGTTCATCTTTATATAAACAAACTTGCGAGATTTTTTTTTTAATTGTTTCTATTTTTGGAAAAAGATTCATGAAACCTATTTTTCAAAAATGTACTGCACCTCAGGAAAACGTATGGCCCCCAGAGACCTTTATACTTTGGCAGATTATGATACTCTGCCGACAGACCCCCACCCCCGTCCTGACTGAGCGAAGCCGCCATTTACTTAATCATCAGTTTTATGCCCTTGCTAGAAGTGGCCTCATCGTGTCTTTCCTGTCATAATGCGCGGAAAGCTTGCCCAGATGGCACTTCGACCCACCCCCCTCCCGGTCGACCCCATGCAGCGTGTAATGCCCGGCTCTGTTATGGTCAAGTTTAATAAGAAGGCTGTGATGGACAGACGGCTACTTTTATCGGTTTGATATTAAGTCTAATGCAATCCGGATCTACCCCCAGCTTCGCTCCTTAGTCACTCTATCTATGACCGTGTTTGTCACAGTGTGGCTGTCTTTCGTCAAAGTTCCCCCTCTCGTACGATATCTCGGTCGAGCATCGTGGCTAATTTGCGCACGTGGGTTCGCAGCCTTGGTCGTGTGTGAACTGACCCTGACTGAGACAGCGTTTCCCCCTCCCCAATGGGGGTATTCCGAAGGGAGTCTCACTTTGCTTGACCCTATCCGCCCCTTCCCAATACTGAGCTCAAACACGTGGCCATACGCGTGGCCTTGCACGTGACATGGCCGACAACTCTGCGACCGTGACCGGGAAGGGGGGCAAGTTTACCTCAGTGCCCCCCCAGCATGATCCGACCCCCTTTCGCAAAATATCTCAAAAAAGAAGTTGTCTTATCAAAACGGAGCAACCAATTTGATCAATGGTAACCTAAGGAAACCTGAATGTCCTACAATGTGGCCCGACCTTCTTTTCTCTCCATTTGGTAAAGGACAAGGAAGATGAAAAGCGCATTATAATCCGGTCGTCGTGGATTTTTACCCTTTCCAGTATAACAGACGGTTCTGTATCTTAATAGCTTTAATATTATTAAAAAGAAAACAAAACTGAAAAGTGCCCCCCTCTATTTCACACTAGACTCATTCTGCTCATTGCGATGGTTTTTTAACAGGTAGCATGATCATGATTGGAGGATTGACGGCTAGGAAAAGACAGGCGAGTGCAGGGACAACTGTCCAGAGCCATGATTAACCGACGCACCGGCAATTTAAGAATAATGAAGTTCATAACTCGGTTAAGTTTTGAAAAATTTGTTGTTTTCGGAACATTGCTGTGTCGCCTTTCCTCTCCGAACGATCAAGGATTCAAGCAGCTTGAGAAACTGGAGTTAACCTTGGTTGGCAAAATGAAGTAAATTCTCGCTGGTTTTAATATATCACCTGTCATTTTGCATACGCCTCTGAGTTTTACTGATGAGTAGGGATATTACTCGGGGTCAACGGAAGCACAAAATAAACCTTGAGCCATTGTCATCGCGGATGTCTCTTCACTATTAAGACAATTTCCTCTCGTTGGGTGGCGGGTTGTTGGAGTTGAGAGGACGTTAAATGTTGACAATGAATGAAATTCAGTTTTCCTGTACATGTAATGTTGTAACATTTGCCATAACGTTCCACTTATACCGAGCAATTTCCATTTCCCTTTAAACTGTTTCAAAGATAGCTTGGCGAATCGCCATGATTTCTTTCAAATTATTACGAGCGGCTAAAGTTGTTAATGTTGCAAAATGAGGAAGGAGCGGTCTCGGCTATGGGCGTCTGGGGAGGGATGGGGGAATAAGGGTACTTCCCCTCCCCTCCCCCCCAAAAAAAGGAAAAGAAAAAGCAAGAGAAGTGAAAAAGAGGAAGGGCGTGAAAAACACCAAATCTGCTTAAAAATACCTCGCAATTGACTCCCTTCTACCTTTACGAGTTTATCCTCGGTAATGAACGCTAACATCCCTCCCCCACCAAGCAACTCCTCCCTGAAAATCCTTGCAACGCCCATGGTCACACGGTTAATTTGCCGCATGATGTTCGGTTCATTTCCAGAAAATGTCTGAGAAAAGCGTAAGGGATTTCCTTGTTGCATTGCTGTTCCTTCGAGATTTTTTGACCTCGCCTGGTACATTTTCCCGTGCTTCTAGTTACTGCGATTTAGGACAATGTTTTTATATCGGTTAAGAATTGAAGGCGTCGAAGTTGCATTCAGAAACGTCTAATTTGTTAAAACCGTTATTTAGGCCTGTGGCACAGGCCTTTTGTAAAACCAAACAGGTTTTCAAAGTAACGGTTTTCGTGAGTTTTACTCATAGCAGTTAAAGGGAGCTAAAGGTCGGTCACTAAAGTTCATGGACAATAATTGCCAGATTGCATATTGTAAGGCATGACCCCAGACTGCCCCTTCTCCTATGCTAAGCCTGGGCGAGCCTGCCCGTCCGTTATGGTTATGGGTTATGGCCAATAAACGCCAAGGTTGACCATCAGCGATTGAACATGCACCTGTCACTTCCGGGTTCTGAGCCGTGATTGATTGGAGGAGCCATCTGAATTGAATGGCGATAGGATGTGGCAGGGATCAGAATTATCCTTATATGGAAATAAGAATAAGGCTCAAAGAAAGCCACTCTTAATCATCTTGTTTGGAGTTGATGCATATGCAGCAAGGTATGAGACAGAGAGAACCCCCCTGCTTTGTGTTGGTCATTATCTCGCAGGAATCTGGGGGATTCCTTTCAGACATCTTGGGGGGATGTGTTAAGTAACAATAGTCTGGAATGTGTATAGGGATTGGACATGTTGGGGGGGGTACCCCTCGGTCTCATTTCTTGCTGGGTATAAGTTGATGACATCAGTGGATTTTCTCAGACACAACTTTTCTTCAATATAATACACAGCAATCAATCAGCAAAGGAAAACGTAGGGCAACAAAATATTACAAACTTTTGCAGCAGTTTTCTTGTGCACAAACCAATTTAACACGGGGGCTTTCTTCCCATCACAACTGTGACATCACATCACAGTTCATGAATATGCAAATTACTCGCCATCAAAATAAAAACTGTAAAAATAAGTCTTTAAAATACCAAGATAATTTGTTTTACATGTGCAAGTACATATACTTGAAACGAGTTTGTCCTCAATTCATTCTGTCCTCAGAAATCCAAGTTGCAGGATGTGAAGAAAAGTTACAGTTTTGCTGTGTTTGCTGTTGTTTCGTTTTGTGTTGACATCTTTTAAATTTTAACGAGTGCAAATTTTGAGATTGCGTGAGGAAGGATAATACCGTATATCCGTTGAAAAATTACCCAATCCACCCTCTGATCACTCTGAATAGCCCATGGGCTGATGCTTCAACTCCCACGGTGACATTACTACACTCGACAAACGGCAATCATAGCATAGGCCGCTCAGCTGAAACTTATAAACAGGCTGTAAACCGAGCATCACTGTAGCAACGCCGGGGATGCCCTTTCAAGCAACTGTACTGATTTTACGGCTATAAATTCGTTACACCTGATGCTGTTTAACAAGTTTGACAAAAATTGTTTGTTTTCTGTAGTGGCAGCGAAACCTGGCCTCCTCCATCAAATAGGTTTCTAGACTAGAAACACCCCCGAAGTTCACCATAAACGAGAGCTAGGCCTATTACATGTAGCTTCTGAGCAAAGTGTCATCCGCTGCCGTTTGCTCAGCTCGCCGGAGTCAATTTTGTGTGTGTGTGTTTACTCACCAACGAGGCAGTTTTAATGAAAATCACGATAGATATTTGCCTCGCAGTCACAATTGGCACATCCGTTCTAGGTAGCTCTGCAGACAGGTGGTTGTGGGTAGAGAGTGGAAGCGCTATTGGTTTGAAACCATTCGACTGTGCAGTCAACCACAAACGTTAAGCATTTGCTTCAGCTGCTGAAGAGTCGTAGAAACATTCAAGCATTTGCTTATTCTGATTATGTCGTTGGAACTGTTCAGAAAATTTATTCCCAGTGCAGCTGGAGCAGAACTGAAGAACTGAGCATTCGACTGACGGAATACTCATAATGATAATGATATTCGATACCTGGTACCATCCTGCTTGACAGTATATACCAGGGTCCGAGTTGAAATAGGCCGTTTTGATCAAAACATTGCTTTCCGCATTTTGTACAACGTATCAGCTGGAAGCAATTTAGAGCCAAACTGTTATTGTCAACTTTTGCTCAGAAACTCTTTTAAGTTTGCATTGCAACTCACTGTGGGCAGCCTCATTAAATTCGCCTTTGCTAAGAACAACTTGGTTTAGTATTTACATGTATTATTTCAAATGGCTTCATGAGAAATGTCATTATGCGTTACATGTACGTCAGGAATGTACATGTACATTTAATTAGAATTGTGTCACATACTCCATTGAAATTCAGTCTATTTTCTAACTCATCCCCACAATGCTCGCATCATGGTCGTTGAGTCTGAGCTGTCATGTGCATTATCATGGCAAACTAACCTGGGATTCATGGAGTCCAAATTTCATTTTGCACCATCCCACTCTAAAACTAAACTGTGGCACCAAGACGTTGGGTTAATCTGGCCTACTGCATTATGCATACACAATGCGTGCACTCATTTACGATGGTCTGGCCCGTGGGCTGTGGATACGTGCGTGCCTTTTGCACGTGTTGTGTACTATAGTTACTACACGCCCTACGTGCTCTGAGACCAATCCGAAGCCCAGCCCGACAGGCCACGCGTGACATGTACGCGCCCATGTTCGCGTGTGTACATGTACGTGTACATAATGTAGATGTAAGTGCACTGTACATGTACATGCACATTGTGCATGCACTTCATTATGTACATGTACATATACAGTACATGTACTTTGGGTCAATGCGCATAGCTTGTTCCGTGGGTGTGCGCCGCGTGATAGAACACGGCCGGGTGGCTGGTTCGCTTACGGTCGTTGGTCGCGTTCGTGAGGCCAGATTATCACCCGTAAGCAAAAACGAGCTGATACCGCCTTTAACAACTTTTACAAGGCCAAACTATAGGTCGATCGCTCTGTTTTGAAACTTGTAATTCCAGCTAACTAAGCCACGATAAAATTGTATACGCATAAAGAAAAAATAAAGGTTTCGGATGTGGTCTGATTACAAATGTGATAATCCTTCCAACTAACAAACAAACAACCTATTTTCCAATGAACTCTACCCATTCCCTGCAGTTTTTGGGGTATGATCAGAATATACACGATTAACGGTTGTAAATCGCCCAACGAAATACTACCGACTATCATTAAAACAGATACAGTTTGCAGTTTTTTTCAGGAATGTACAGTTTTAGGCAGTAAGCAAGCCCTCCAAGATTTATAAGCAAAATCCCCAGTTAGTTCATGCTCAGCTTTTAAAGGTTTATTAATAAATAAAACTATATACACAAACGAAAAAGTTCATGTGTATCCGTTTCTTCGAAAGTGAGATCAACAAACGAACCTCCTCGCTTTAGGCAACCAGATACTAATTAATGAAATCATCTCCGTGACCAAAAGCGAAACTCGGGGCGGTGTTACTGCCGAGTTGCTATTGGCACGGTGCCATTTCCGTCAAGGGGAATCGAAAGTCTGTTATTTAAAACACGAATTTGGTTTCTCGTGCCGCCTGCTTCCTTTTTTTACCACATGCTTGCTGTTTTTAAAATTTTAATTGTTGACGTATAATTTTGATTTTGTAAATGTATTGCTTTGTAATCTGTACGTTCAAGATTTGTCCTGTTGATTGCTCCTTCAGACACTAAGATATCAGAAATATGGGCGAGATAATCCAGCTGCCATTTTGGGAAAACAATCATCATCTTTTAAGAATGAAATAGGCATCCTCCTCTTCTCCTTCAAGAGCTGTGAGACAAAGCGCATTAAATACAGAAACCGTACGAGTCATATCCCATGTGCAACTCATAGTTGAAAGTTTTATATTAGTAAAAGTGTGTCTAGATCTAATTTTAGTCGCGTGACAACATATAAAACTAATAATAATAATAATATAGGTAATGGCTGTCCGGAAAAAACTGTAACATGCAGTAAATTTAAACAACAAATCGTACGTTCGATGAGATATCAACGGAAATTTCTGAGAGTACCCGGAAAAAAAATCGACAGAGTTTCCATAGCGAGATATGTTCATAACGAACGTCACATTTTGGCCTATCACGCAGCCAATGTTCGAGCAATCTTCTCTGCATGGTGCAAAGTGCAACTTTTTGTACTTTGCCCGAGTGATGAATACGTGCGAACTCTCCCAAACTTACCGATTCATGGCCTGGAAAACTACCACTGCCGACAAACATACTTACAGACAAAAAATCCATCTGAAGGTGAATGGGGAGTGGGCGTGACGCCCCCTCTTCTGGCGAAGAAAGGTATAGTTTCCGTCCATTGGAATCTAGGCAGCTGAACGTACATGTATAGTGCACAGATCTCTGTATAAACAAAAAAAAATATTTCCCAACTTTGGAATAGGCCTACATACAGTTTGGTCTGTTTTCTACCCCCTTTCTTTGATATACGCCCGAAAAGATATAAAAATCCGCATTTATAATTTAAGGTTGCACGATAAAGACCCCTTTTCCGGGGGTAGTTTCTAACTTCATGGATTTAGGATTTTTTCAAAAGCAGTTTTAATATCGAAATCATTTTAAATTATGCAGTACAACTGTATTCGTGCCTGTGCGTGCACACCCATACATGTGTGTACATGGGAGCATGTACATGTAAATTGTACATTTTGTACATTTTATTACCTAACCAGCCACTTTTCTTGATAAATTTGGCGATTTTGTGGTTGTTTCGTTGAACTCGGGGCCTCCCGTAAACCTAGTTTTCAATTTAGATTTGATTCTCTTTATCATTTTTCCGCATACAAATTCAAATCTGTTAAGTTGGCAAGCTGCGTTGCTATACCTTGATCAGTAAAGAGGTGTACGTACCTGCTGCACCTGTCTCACGTTAATACTAGTACATGTACTGTCTATGTATGCATGTTCCACAACACTGAATTGGAGTGCGACTCGTGGGAAAGCGCACTGAGAAGGTCAAATCTTTTCTGGTTCCCAGACCATCAAAATTAGATAAATAAAGGCTGGACACATGTATTTTGAAATAGATGTTGGTACGGAGGGCACCAGTCTAAGTCATAGTTTGTCTGGCAATTTTCCAACCATCTTTTATTTATGATCACTCGGATTTTTCTAGAGAACGACTGGCTCTTTGTGGAGAATGATATGTATTGAGTTCCAAATGGAATTGTCCAGAAGTATGAAGATGCGGTAGACCTACATATACCAAGCTGCGCAATTTTACAGCGCCCTACCATCTCCTTTAGGCTACCAAAACTATTTTATAAAAAAGGCAAATTTCGAAAATGGCAAACTGATTGCCAAAAAATAGATAAATAAAACAAAACAAAATATATGTGATAATTTAAAACACATCCTTATTTATTTTTTTCTGTTAAAGATTTACAATGTCCAATCTTTCGTCCCCTATTTCAAATCGTAACATTCGATGCATGGTCATTGCTTATTGTGTTTCACCCTTAGAGCCACGATTATCGTTGATGAGTCATAATTTATCTAAATCAGACCATCAGACAACAGAACTGCTGTCAGCCACGGTGATGGCTACCTTTGCCAAGGAATTTCTTCAGTTGTCCCATTCTGTATTTTTCGTAATCATTTTCTTTCTTTTTTCTTTTCATGATCAAAACATTTATGATACGCATGCAGAGCAATTATCAATTCAAGGACTTATTGCAGGCAACACCACAATGCAGAATCCAGCCAACCTCCATGATCCAACCGGGCGATCGTAAGAGGTCTTTGTCAAGTAGGTTTTTGTTGTTGTTGCTATGCTTTAAACAATAACTATTTTTTAAAATAAAATGATATGATCATTTTCGTGATCAACTGATTCTAAAGGCAACGGTTTCATATTTTCCCTTCACATTGTTTCATAAATAAAAGGGCAATATGTATTATATCCTATATCTTGTATTTTGGGAAAAATAGGTTTGGCTAACTTTCGGTCATAAGAAACTATGATTTAATTCGTTTTGATTGTTCACCATGAAAAATGCCAACGGCATAATCTCTCAAGTTTTATTAAAATGATGACAAGAAAACACAACACTTTTCCATGAAAGCCTCTCAGCTTACACTATCTGCCGGTTTGTGTCCGTATTAATGAATAGTCCAAGTGCGCCTTCGCCAAACCGCAATGGAAAACTACTGAGCGCGATATCCTGGAAAATTCCACGTACAATCACGTGCACCATCAACGCAGCTATTTATTAACATAATAAAAGCTCATTGACGGTATTGGCCATCGCGTAATGGAAATGGAAGGTCAGCGTTGGCCTAGCATTCTGCTTCATGAATATTAACCACAAAGATTTCTGATTGGACAATCGGGATGACTGGTTGTTATTTGCATGATGACGTACTCTCGCATGAATGAAAACATTGGCACGTGTAATGGCAAAAAAGCCGGCTCATTTTCAGAACACAATTTGGCGCGAAGGAAAGCGGACGTTTTTCCCCTCTCCTCGTTTCTATATAAGTAAATGTAGAACGTTTTTTAATTTCTTTAATTACTGTAACCAAGAGACTTAATATTAATTCTTTCCACAAGGAGACCGCATAAATTTAGAGTTAATCTACTGTCGACCAAGGGTCCTTTTTATCGGTTTATAGCCGGACATTGGTGCAGTTTGTGTCAGGAACTAAACGTACTTGGATATCTCGTCACTGCGTCTTTTCTCTAAGCCTGAAGTGAAGATTGCTCCAAGATGGCAGAATGTAATGGATCGACGCAGAAGAATGTTCATAATTTGGTAAATACCCCTTCAGATTTGTTTTCTAATTTGTGCAAACGCTGGCAAAGAATTGTGGCGTTTTCTGTCAATTTTGTTTAAATTTTGTACGTTCGAGCATAGCTCCATTTTTCGAGACAAGTTTTTCACATTTTCGTTAAATCTTTTATTTTACAAATGACAGACCGTCTCTAACTACGGTACAACATCACAAAGGCATTTATTGACATCACTGACGAACAAAAATTAATGCATAAATACTATTTTACATTCGGTTTCTGAAGAATTGTGTTCAACAAATTGCCAATTGTGTACAACTACAAGAATCCAATATTTCTCAGTTGCTGATTTGTTCCAACAGTAAAGTCTGTCTATATATTTATCTCACATTTATTTTTTTTGTTTTGATTCATATATCCAGAATTGTAATCGTGTGTCAATCAGTCAATCGTTGAGTTGAACACATTGCTTACGAGTTACAGCATGACTAGAGAAAATGTGGTGTGGATATATCGGCAACCACTTCCATTTTTTCTATTTTAACCCAAAGCTTTCAGTCCCTGCTCATCACGCTCATGGTCCACTCCCCATGTACATGTACATTGTACATTGTACTCTTTTTTCGCTCTTGCGAATTCCACACATTTTTTAATTTACCTCAAAGAAACTGCCTATTCACTGTACCAAACCGCAACTTTGCATATACTGTTAAGCGTGGTTTGAAAAGAGGCGTGGCTGTTCTTCGTAAATACTGCGTCGAGGACGAATGTAAACATCCGCTCCGTCGTGCCGAAGGGTAATAATTCGTCTACTCGATACTGTTACGTAATTCAAGCGTGAATCACTTTTTCCTCGTTAGAGTATACTGGCAATATATGTATACTTTTAGTCCAACTGCATTACCTGTTCCTTGCTCTATGCCATCAAGAACCACTCCTAAGAGTCCTATCCAGATTTTTGTTGTGTAAAAAAGATCAACACGAAAATAATCCTAGCTAGAAAAGAACGGTTGCTTTTCCATCAATTATCAATCGTTAGGGCCACAAAGTTGAAGGATTGATTTTGCGATATTCTGGCGTGAACAAAATTCAAAAGAACTTAGTCCCTACTTTGTCATTCAGTATGTTTAACAAAGGGCCATGTACAGGGTTTTCCAACAACTTGAACAAGTCAGTCTTTCAGATGAATTGTTCAACAACTATTAACCCCTCCCTCGGCCGTCAACCACGGGCAACTGACCATGACAGTGCTCCCTGTATTTTCCAGCGAAAGATCTCGCTGCCGCAACTGTTTCAAAGGCAAACCAAGTTGTAACTGACACAATGAACAGGTGCTGTGGGGACCAAACAATGATTTTCCCTCCATTATCAGTCAGAAACGTGCAACCTTCACACTTGGAGGCGCATGCATAGGCCAAGGTGTTGCCTTTTTCGTCCGTTCCTTTATATTTGGCTTCGTGCTCCTCTAAAGAAAAGGAACATAGCAGACTGAGCAAATCAACTTGAAATTTGTAGATTTGTTTGGTTTTCTAAATCGCCCATCATGTGAGACAATAAATTGTATGTTTTGGTTTGTTCCTATCTTTATCTTTGATATGTTGAACGTTATTTTTCCATTAAAAAAAACTGTTAAAGCCTGTTTCACATGAATAAAATATTTGTGTAAAAGGCCTGACACAAGTCCCCTTTCTCGACGTGTGGATTTGGTTTCGAGTCTCATTTTCTATAACAGTTGATACTAAGCACTAAGCATATTCTCGGTTTCCATTTGCAATTTTATTTATGACCATCACGGTCCGTGCCGCAAACACGCTCGGAATTTTTTCCCAACTCCTTCCGTTGACCCGCGAGCATGCGGTCAGCCGGCGTATCCGCGTGATTTTCTCGGCACTCCGACCGCCAACGCAGAGGTCACGGACGGCCGGAGGAACCGGTCGAGGTCAATAAATTTGACCGCGAAAGAACGAATTCACGTTTTTTCACCTGCAATGTAATTAATTTCTGCGTATTTAACTGCACTTGTACCAGTCGAAATAAATGGAAATGTCAATATTTCGTATTAAGGCGGATATCAGTTAAAATAATGCGTACTCCCACAGTTGTCATGAGAGTTGCATGTATTATTCAGTGTGGGCACTAAGAGCCGGAATTGCGCGTTGTGCCGGTGTGAGCCTTGATGAATTTCTGGCTATAACTATGATGACTCGTGTGTTAGTCATTACCAAAGGACACACACACAACAAAAAAATCAACTGAAAATAAATGGAAAAAAAGACACCTCTTTTCTGTCCCTGAAATTAATTTTCACTTCCGTCACGTTTGTCGTGCAATTACCAAGAAATGTGTAACTTCCTCCCCGGAGAAGATCAAGTGTCGAATAGTCAATACAGTTTTTTCTGTACAATGTATCTATTTTTTTAAAATTAAACAGCGAAATTCTTTGAGTTTTACTCAAGTAAAATATTTCAAATTGTGTAAGGCAAACAATTTTTTAAGTGCTACGCTTAACATGGATGACAGAAGTAGGCAACTTACAAATCATGGTGCTGTAAATTTTGACCCTGATAGTTGATTTCGCATAAGTTATTTTTATGTAAGCCTATTATAATTACGATTAACGCAACCTGGTGTAACTGCGACACTGATCGAAAAAAAAATTAAGGAAGTAAACATGGCACTGAAGGAATGCTTTAAGAAGGCAATTAGGATTCAGACATTAAAATCGTAGTTTCTTATGATTTTTTTTTTGTGGATTCCAGTTCTGAATTTTGACGAAACTTTTGTTCTCCCGCTTACACAGAGTTTCCAGCCATTACCTCAGGGGGACCCAGGCTTTGCCGTGTACCCGGCGCCTGGCAGCGGACCGCCTTCCCCCCTCCCCGTCATGGCCGTCACGAAAGGTGGCGACGAGAACAAGGACCGGGGCAACTGGACGAACCACGCCGAATTCTTGCTGTCCTGCATCGGCTACGCCGTCGGCTTGGGCAACGTCTGGCGTTTCCCCTACCTGTGTTACAGCAACGGCGGAGGTAAGTGTTGTACCTTGCGTTCGAATGGCATTGTGCACGACCTTTAGAGGGCGCTCAGTGGTAGGATTTTGACCTCTTCAGACAAGGAATGAAATACAGAACTTTGCGGAATATTTCGACCAAGTTTGCTCAACAATGAAACACCAACCAATGTACCTTTCAGGACCTATTCAGATACCTTTCTACTTACCGAGTGTGAAATGCAGTCTCAAGGTTTGCTGACTTCAAGAAATAGTGAGAGATTTTACCTTACAAATGAATGGAATTTAATGATTGCAAAAGACTTGCTTTTGTTCAAAAACAGAGTCTGTTTGTTGTTTGAGAATTAAGATCAATTTCATTTACAAACCCGCATGAATCACTGAAGCTTTCTTGTTAGTACGTGTGTGTTTATTTTTTGACGATTCGTAGACATTTTTCCCAATGAATTCTTTCGTCTTTCAATGATTAATGTTTTACGAGTTGTGAAAAAAACGATGAGAAATTGAACCATGAATTAAAAAGCCAGGGGTGATATAGAAAAGGTCTTGTTATTTGCATCAAGTTCTTTTTATTTATTTATTTTTTTTAATGTTGACATCATTTCGTATACCGACCAGTGTTGGACCAAACTTGTATTCCGTTCTTGCTTTTGGGTATTGAATTTAGAAAACAAATTTAATTATACCTGAAAATGTTCAAGCATATTTCTGTCAGAAATATTCGAATGAGACTCTGAAAAAATACTCCCGCGATGAATAATTCTGCTGAGATATTTGTCAAATGAGCAACTGGGTCCGTCCTTGAACGCTGCAGGCCTACATGTACTGTACATGTATAAGCCAAAGTTATTTGTGCAATTATAGCGTCTTTTAGAACAAAAGTTAAACTCCCTTTCACAGTTCGTTTATAGAGAAATATACATTTATCCAGTGACGTTTTTAGGACATCATTATATTCTTTCAGAATCGACGTGAAAATGAATTTGTCCCGTCTGGGGAAATGATAAACGGCCGGGCCAGACATTAGAATGCGATGAGGGCTGTTCACGCGGTTCGACGTTGCTCGCTTGTACAGGTATACTGCGCAGGCGTGGGGGGGGGGCTTTTCTTGTCCAACTAATGGCTAAGAAATTCAGAAACCCACACATTTCTGTTTAACCGCGGATCATTTCTAGCCACAGACCATCCGTGTGTCGCCCACACGGACCCATTCCCCATGCGGCCAAACGGTGCACCCCCTCAGTATGCGGAGGCTGTCATGCTTTCCTATCCGATGCTCATCCAAGATTTATCAGGAATCGATTCTTGGTGACGCACTCATCGCGATGAAGACGCTCACAGTTTAAAGAATTCGTTATTTCCCCCTCGAAAATATTGGAACAGTTTCCTTTAAGTAGGCCTACGCTTGAAAGTTGAAAGTGGTTTGCATTGTTTAAAACGTAAAAAATGCGAGAGCTCTCCTCTATGAACGTATAACAAAGTGAAAATGCAGTTGAAGAAATATAAATTAAATTTCAATATTGCGATAAAATTTTTGGCTTAGTGTCGACTTAAACTTTTGCAGTGGCAAAACTTAATATCAAAAACATGCCCACAAGATTGGTTACTTTTGGAAAACGATAGCGCGTAAAAGCATATGCGACGGAACGACCTTCGTTGGCGGGAAGTTGTGCCGCTTGATATCGATGATAATGAGAGCGACACAGACCAGACGTTGGCACATGATGGAAAATTCCATGCTGGGCTCAATTACGGCCGTGGCAGATTTGTGAAAGGAATTTCTGAGATGACGTTATTATGCGCTTGTTTTTCACAAAAAAAATTGCGTGAAATGAACAAATTATGGACGATTTTTGTGACGACCGTGCACATCTTATAATATAGTTTGTTTGGCCGTTTATCAGCGCTCCAAGAAAAATATGAACACCTTGCATTTCTGTCAACATTGTAGTGGCCGTGATCAGACATTTCTGACGCAACTGAGAATTTTAAGCCTCGGCTATATCCTTCTGAAAATATTATACTTATAGGCCCAAATACAGCACATTCGACATTTGACATCGGAATGGTATTTCGAAAAATATAGCCGAGGTAAACAACGAAAGGTTACCTCGAAATCTCTCAAGGAGTGTCCCCTTGATTATTCTGAAGTCGGTTGCCCCGGTGATGCCATTGCTGATGCAGACGTCTTTGCATCGGGAGCGAGAGGCTCCCGTCAAAACACCTCGCACGTCATTCCCGCGGGGGTAGAGTAATATGTCTCCGCGGCTCAATATGTAGATGAGCGAATTTGCATAACCTGAGAGGTTCGCGGAAGGTTTTGTTCGCGATCTCTTTCGCACAGATTTGATTGTTGACCAAAAAATGCCTTCGAAAGAGGAATGCTAAATAAAAGTAGATTATTTTTAGAGTTTACATCGACATTTCTTTCCATATTGCAAAGTTTATTTGTTGAATTATAAAGGTTAATGAACGAATGATTTTTGACGACATACAAGAGTAAAAATTATTAATTAATACACAAATGAGAAGAAAAAGGACAATAGAGGGCGTATTCAGAAGACAAATTCTTATACAGAAATACCTAATTAAGACAAAATAACAACGAATCATTCAGAAAAGACAGGAGCGGAATGATAAAGACAAAGCAAACAAAACACGAGCAGCGTGAAATGTACTGAAAGCTGGAAATAAGAACATTTCAAACATACAGAACACAAGGATGTAATAAATGGAATCATAAAAGAGACAGATCTGCCGCGGATGGGCCTAATCAGAGACAAGGTGTTTCTTTTACTTTGAGTTGATCTTAAAACACATCCTCAGACCTTAGACAGATAATGATGTACACTTCTAGACATTTCCTCTCAGTAAATCATTATTTTTAAGGTGAAGTCAACAGTGATAAATCAGGGCAGCTGGCGTTTTTGTTCCATGACGGGTTTCAAAAACGCTTCAAACTGTTTGCTGTGCCTTGGATTTTAATTGCGCGACGGTTAACCGCTGTAGGAATGAAGCATGAATACGTATTCCAGTCATTGTTAAATAATTCTCACGCTTTCCTCTTGTTTCTTTAATTTTTTCGTTTAACCGACCCCGAATCTATGCTTTTAGTGGGAAAGTTTCAGTATGTGTTTTGTTGCTGTAGAACCAGTGAACAAGGGAGTGATTTGATGAATTTCCGTCCTCTTTTTTCAGGAGCGTTCTTGATTCCCTACTTGATTATGTTGCTGTTAGCCGGTCTTCCCCTGTTCTTCCTTGAACTTGCCTTCGGCCAGTACAGCAGCAGTGGACCGATTCGTTGCTGGAACTCCGTGCCCATGTTCAGAGGTTTGTCTTATTTATTTCGTAATTTAAAGAGAGAAAAGGCTGTCTGACCCCTCCCCCCAAAAAAATCCTTGGTCATCCGTTTCCATTTTCCACAACGTTGGCTCAATTGTACTCCAAAATTAAGATCACGTTTGGAAAGAGAGAGAAACAAAAAGAACGCGTGGCACTGAACGGTACCGTTGCCAAAATTGGTATTTTTCGTTCGCCAAAAAGTGCTTTTGTGTGTGACTTTGCTGGTACTTCTGACGTCAATTGAGCAACTGCACAACAGGCCAGAATAACTGCAGGCATTTATACCAAGGTGCGGCCTGTCAGTGAGGCTGAACCATCTACAGCTGCAGTGTACGGCGCGATAAACGCGTCGTTGAGCACAAAGGGGATTTGGCGCGAATTTATTGCGTTGTAATTAAAGTAAATGTACACACTGTTAATGGACAAATCTTCCAGTGAACATCAATTTTTCTTTTACTGGCATAAATTCCGGGGCAAAACAACCTGCAAATTTGTCGACCTTCATAAATAAATGTTCCAATTATTGGAGGAAGATGACCAGAACTGATCAAAATTTAGATGATTAGAAGAGGATAATTCGTAAAATATCATACGTTTATACAATCGATATGACCAGGCGTTTAAAGACCTTGAGCGTTAAAACCTTTTGACTAGAAGAATTGATTTGTGTACCAGTTTTGCTTAAATTCGGATAGTTTTGATGGATATAATGAGTGGTTCACCAAATCTAACAGTACTCACAGAATTAGAATGCATCTCAGGTCGAATAGAATCCTTCAAGAATTCTCCTGTAAAAACTAACCGCTTTAGCAATAGCCCCATCCCTACTTTACAAGGCTCGGAAACTCCTCTTTCTTGCTCCCGCCATATTTCTCCAATGTACATGTAATGTCTGTTAAATTGTGAGGATTACTTTTTGTGCACCTTTTTGTAAATATTACATATGTGTTAGTCTCATCATACCAAGTTTTTATCTTTGGATCGAACAATATGGGCCAGTACCAAGTCATAACACGATTGCAAGTTTGTCTTTAATCTGTATTTCGTTTATAGAGTTGTGTGTATATTGATACGTTTGTTTACATATTGTCTTTTTGTAATCATTGTAAGACTGTGCTATAATTCAGCCCTTGGGCTGCTATCGCCGGTTTTTTTTTAAATAAACCAGTAATAACAATAATAAACATTCAGAAAAGATTTTTTGTGGTAAGATAGGCTTGGTGGACTACTCCCAAATTCTTTTATATTTTTTACCGTTTTTTTACATTTATTTGCTGTAAAAATAAAATAATAAAAATAGAATACTACATGCATGTTTCACCGTTCACTACAGGTGTTGGTATAGGCATGGTGATCGTTTCTGCATGGGTGGGCATCTACTACAATGTCGTTATTACCTACACGCTATACTACATGTTCCAGTCTCTGACCACCTCCTTGCCATGGGCTGGGTGCGGCCACGAGTGGAACACAGAGTACTGCAGCGACCTGGTCAGCGATTGCTTGGACAGTGGCGGCATCATGACCGTCAACAACACCTGCGTAGCCGTCGAAAACATGACCAGTACCGAGCTGGACATGTACAACATCACCGAGGACGGCAACCTCACCGATTATGTTGATCCATTGAAGGACATGCGAATTCGGCCAAGCGAGGAGTTCTACAGGTAAGCGTTTTTCTTTGAAGTTGCAAAACTTTGCCCACATCAGGCCGAATCCATAACCTACAAGTGACAGACTAATTGTGTTTATTTAACAATCTCTCCAAGATCTAATTTTGTTACCAGAAGAATGTGAAAATTGCAAAATAAAAATAACTTCCACAAATGTTTGTCGAGTCACTTGTAAACAGTCTGGAATATTCTTGGATGCGTTTATATGGTTAAGTGATAGTTATGTTGACTGATTACCGCCACCTCCTGAGAGGCGTCACTCAAAATCCTTGAAAGAGAAACAAACCTGGCCCACAAACAATTTCCTCCAAAGTAAGTAGACAAGGTTTAGTTCTGGCATTTTGTCTGTGTAGTTTAAGATCTTGGCACTTTACCGTTTTCAATTCGTTTGAATTATTTTGTAGGAATCGTATGCTGCACGACTCCGGCGACATTAGCAAATCCGGTTATATCATTTGGCAGTTGGCGTTATGTCTGGCCCTCGCCTGGTTGCTCGTCTTCGGCTGTTTGGTCAAGGGTATCAAGTCCTCTGGAAAAGTACTTATTTCTTTTTTTATGTATATATTTTAGGATTTCGATTGAATTGCCAGCAGGTTTTCAATTGGCCTTGAAAACTACGCAACCTTTCCTCGCTGCTGATTTCAATCGATGGTTTAACAAGGTCTTCGTCGTAAATTTGGTTTAGCGCTTCGTGTGTTTTTATTGCCGTCCTAGAACTCGTACTGACTAGTCCTAAGCAAAACACAAGGGTTAATTATAAATGCACCATCCGTAAAGTACATTGCATCCAAAATCTTTGCCCAAAAAATGGTCTTCGTATAATTTAACTCGAAAGCGCTGAAGAATCAATCAACGGTTTCCTGTTTTCAGTTTATTTGAAATTCCTTTTTTTCTTGAAAGCCATTAACACATGGGTGAAATGGAACCATCACTCTTGCTAAACTGATGTTTCCACTATTCGCTCCTATGTAGGTCGTGTATTTCACCGCAACGTTTCCCTATCTGGTCCTGGTGATTCTGCTCATCCGCGGCGTCACGCTGGAGGGATACTGGAAAGGGATCAATTTCTTCGTCACACCGAGATGGAACCATCTTGGGGAGGCCAAGGTAAGTGCATGGGGAAAAACAAGGGGAAAAAAGGGGAAAAGAATTCACGGGAGCATGGAAAAGGGAGGATGATCATGGAAAAATGATGGGAAAATAACACTCAAAATGGAAATAGGGGGAAACATAATAACAAGAGCACAAACCTGCCGAAAATATTAATGGGAAAAAGGGGGAAATACAGAGAGATTAATTTAAATTTTCAAATTATCACTCGCGTTTTTTCAACGTATACTCGCCGTTTCTGAAAATTTGTAGAATAAATCAACGAGGTTTGGGATATGTACAAGTCACATAACACATCATTGTACTTATAACGGCGTTGTAATTTCCTTGATTCCTGCCAATGGAAATTTCCATCATTTTATTTTAATGAGAACACGGAAGTGCGATCGCGCAGGGGCAATCGATGTACGTGATCGAATGGGATAGCCTGGTCTCAAGCTCAAAAGTTCGAACGCACTGATGGGACCTAGCTCTAGATACATCTAGAGCTAGGTCTAGGTCTGCGCCGAAAAAATAAAAACGCAGAGACGTGCTGACGTAGACGTAGCCATAGCTCTGGAAGCGCGTTTCGGACATGCTTTCGTGAGACTGAATATTCATGACGTCGTTCCATTTTTTGCACAGGTGTGGAAAGATGCAGCCGTTCAAATTTTCTATTCTCTGAGCGCATCCTGGGGCGGACTTATCACCCTTTCTTCTTACAATAGGTTCCGTAACAACTGCTTGAGGTGAGTTTTAGACATTTTCTCACGATATGTTTGCTGTGTTGGTTAATTTCAAATTTCTTGAAACGAGGTGTCCGTTAGAACTTCTGTTGCAGAAAAATCTCTTTGTTCTAAAGGGTTTTTCCAAGTACACGTGCATGTATTTAAACAGGGTTAGGTAACAATTAAAACAGGCCTTTGTGAATATCATCCAATGGTGATAACAAATTTACATTCTGGTATTGTCGATTTTTCTTATTTGGACAGAGATGCCATCGTAGTCCCCCTGTTGAACTGTGGAACCAGCATCTTAGCCGGCTTTGTCATCTTTTCGATTCTTGGAAATATGGCGCACGAACTGGACAAACCTGTGGAGCACGTCGTCGACGAAAGTAATTATTACAGCTCCCCATTCCAGAGAAAAAAATCTAGTGCCAGTCATGGGAAGCCCCCCCCTGTAGTGTTTGCAGAAAAATCATGCCAGTGTTCAGATAAATTTGAATTAGGAGAAAAGATGGAATAGTTGAGAAATATCTGCTGTTATATGTCGCAAATTTGTTTGTTTTTTTCCTAGTAGAAATGTCGCAAGAATAAAAAATCTGTGATGATAGTATTTTTATAAAAAAAACAAACAATTTATTGTAGTTGTCTGCATTTTCTTTGGGTTTCAAAACTACTGTAAGGTTTGGTTTGTAATCTTGTAACATTACCGTGAGTTGCTAACCGCGTAGTGTTGTTTGTTGACAGCCTTTGGTCTCGCCTTCATCGTCTACCCCGAGGCCGTGCTCCATTTCCCCGCGGCTCCTGTCTGGTCTTTCTTGTTCTTCTTCATGTTGCTTACTCTCGGACTCGACAGCCAGGTACGACTAGAAAAAAAATATTTTCAGAAGTAAACCTATCGCCCGTCACCCCACTGACGAGGGAGGTCCCAAATGATTTTCCAAACCTCCTGTGATAGTCCATGTTAAATTGAAGTTTTTTCGAGGGCTGACTGCCCGATCATTGTTCATCTTTGCAGTAGATTAAATGCTTACCTCTTTATATTCGACAGTTCTGCATCGTCGAGACCGTCGTGACCGCCGTCATGGACCAATTTCCCGAGAAGTTGAAAGGCCGCAAAACGTGGATTGTTGCCCTCTACTGCAGCATCAGCTTCCTGCTGGGACTGAACACTGTCACACAGGTAAGGCAGTCCAAAATTCGAGACCACATTTATTGTTAGTACAACTGAAATGCTATCGCATCATTCCAAGAATACCTCTTATTGACGCGTGCCCCATGCAGGGAGACGTGTACCTTTGACTCATTCCCATGTCACTGGAAACGAAATTTTCCTTCACTGCATCTTGCAAGAAGCTCTAGAGAATACGACAGGACATCGAGCATAACCTGTGTTCTTGTGCTGATTCTGACGTTAATTTTTTTCCACTCGTTCACCTCCTTCAGGCCGGTAATTATTGGGTATGGCTTATGGACAAGTATGCCGCCGACTTTGCCCTGTTGATCTTCGGGTTGAGCGAGTGCGTCGCGTTGGGATGGCTGTACGGTATCAAGCGATTCAGCAACGACATCCGCACCATGCTGGGCGACAAGATTGTGGACTCCTTCTTCTTCAGGTGGTGGCCTCTGAACTGGTGTTGCATCACTCCCTGCGTCCTGGCCGTAAGTTCCCCCGTCCATAATTTTTTTCAGCAGATGTGAGATATTATAGAGGGTCCTTTCATTTTGGATATAGAGAATCTCGGACGTCTGACTGATAACTCGGCCATACTTGGAGCTCAGACAAACGTCCAACTTTTTTTTTATTACAATGTCAGTCCAAGAATGACGCTGGCAGAAAGGAGCTGTGCAAAACATGCAGGCAAAGTGTCTCAAAATCCTGCGCTTGCACAGTGAAATCACGGTCACGTTCTTGAATTTCTGGGTGATGAACTGACGTTCTCATTCAATCGATTTCTATCTTCTCCTCCACAGTTCGTGCTGCTGTTCAATTGGATCTCCTGGACAGACCCCACCGCCAGGGACTACGAGTTCCCACCCTGGGCTCACGCCATTGGCTGGATGATGATCACTTCCACGCTTATATTCATTCCCATTGTGTGGGTCTGGGAGTTTATCCGTGCCGAGGGTGGTGTTAGAGATGTAAGTGTTTCCATAGTTCCTCAGAATTCTTCAAACAGGAGATAAGAATTTATACACGACCCTCTGTAGGTGCAAATCCAAGCCCAAAAGTTGCAGATATCAACAAAATGTTGCCGATCTTGGAAAAATAATCTTTTATAGATTTAGAAAAAAATGGAGCCACTGGCTTACTAATTTTCCTGTCGATTTCTGTGCGTGTACTTTATGTTGATAATTTGTTTCTCTTTGCGTACAGAGACTTCGTGCCATGACCACCCCGACCGCCGAATGGGGACCAGCCCTTCTAGAGCACCGCAAAGACGCCTCCCGAGTCCACAAAACCCACGGCACCACCATGGGTGGAGTGGTGGAGTGCGGCGATGCGACCGACAAATTCGCCAAGTATATGCCATGCGAGGAAGGAGTGAGCGTGCCGCCCCAGGAGACCATCGCCCTGCAGGGATTTAAGGGTAACGCCGTCTGAGCTGTCGTGCCTACAAGAACTGAGGAAGGGGAAAGGGGAAGATGAGAAGGGGGAACATTCCGGCCGGGCCCGGTGCCCATGTTTTTTTAAGGGAAAGACTGAGTAGGAAACAAAAACACACCTTGCTTCAAAAGAAACCCAAAAGCCCCGTGTATGAAATGCAAGCGGCAGAAGAAATTATCATTGTGGACTGCTCAAGCCGACGACAGGATTAATTGGATGGAAGGGGGAAAGCCAAAAACAGCTGTAGGCCTACTGCATGGATCAGGAGAGTACACGCTCTTTGCAAGTTCTCCGTCCGTCCACTGACCCTTACCCTGCTGTCTGTGCTTTATCACGTGGCTCTGTTGCGCTTTATCTCGTGAGTGCATGAACACCAGAAGCGTTTTCCCACCAGACATGCGCCAACGTAATTTTTACCGTATGTGAAGAATGGAATGCAATGCAAGTTTAGGGGAGCCGGCCTGCCCTGCAACGTCGTATAAAAAAAAAACGGGGTCCTTTATCTCAGGCGCCTGTTTGGCATTTTGACTAGCAACTTGCCTTTTTGTATTTGTCGCGCTTCAGTATTGTAAAACGTAATTCACATAGTTATAACGGGAAAGTGCTATACCACAAAGTTATTTCTTGTAAACTGCAAAGAATAGTACCGTACTCTTTAACATGTGCAAGAAATGTACACGCCTCAAAGTATGGCTCGCGAGTGCCAGCTCACCAGGAAAATCCTGCAATATTATACATAGCCAAGACAAAATCGCCAAACTGAAAGGGTACGCTCGCCGCGTCAGATATTGCATGTACAGGACGCAAAGACTTCGGGTTTGGAAATTACGTAATGGCTAATGATTAGGGCCTATATTGGGGTTGTACTTTGTGAATTCCGTTCCACAGAGGTTATGCATGGCAGCTATTTTTCCGGTAAGAGCTTTTGTTCCACAAGGATACACAGAGTTAGACCTTTTGTACTATCCCTCCGTATAACACAAGCATGATGGCTGCCGTGCAATCCCCTCTATAGGTGGTGCTGGAACTTAGCATCCTCGTGTGTGATAATCGAAAACAAGTGCTTTTAGCTATATTTCAATGTATTGTGTAATGTATTAAATTTGATCTGTTTATAGCGTAAAATGCGCTTTGCTGCATCATCATGAAAACGGTGCTTTTAGGATTCATCCCTCTACGTTGGCGTCTTGGCGATATAACGAGTTAAACTGGAAAAAACGTACAACTGACACAGCAAAAAACCTCAAAAGAGGAAAGGCTTTGGTCGTAAGCATTAATGGAAGCGACTCGTAACTAAAATAAAAACAAATTCCAGGAAATAGTGGAGAATTTTCGAAGGCAGCAGTTTGTGCTGAAAAGTAAAGCGGTATCATAACGACATTTTTCGAGTAACATTGCGACTGGATTATTTTTCACTGCAGGAAAATGCCATGTTAACGTGCAATAACAGTAAGCACAAATTGTAAACCACAAACCACGGCAAATGCAAATCCTAAAGGCTGTCACAGTCTTTGATGTCTTTCTGAAATGTTGCGATTACAATGCATTTACATATTATGTTTCAGTTTGGTGTTATCTTATGTCACTTTTTAGATATAATTGTAACTCGTTTTCTCAAGTGGTTTGAACTTCGGGGAAACACGCGTTGCTACAGCCCATTGGCGATCGTGTTCATATGGCAAGCATTTTCTTTGATTTATTGGATTTCAAAAAAACCGCATGGTATTTGGAGGGGTTGGAGGCGGAACAAAAGTAAAATATGAAACATTAATGTACCTTTCTGAATCCAATAATTTCTTAGGATCAAAGGGTGGTAACATTTTTTGTGTAAAACTTTTTATTCAGAATTGGCGAATTTGTGAGCCAACCAACGAACGGTTTGTCTTATGAACATCTACAGAAGTAATATTATAAGCAATATGTTTTTATTCATATATGAATAAAATCATCTTGTTTATAATATTACTTTATCAACCTACAATGCATACACCTGTTTCCTCGACCATCCTTACCACAAATGATTTTGCCGTCTCCTAAATGTATAAAATTACAAATGTCAAAAGGCATATTTATTTATTTGTATTTGCCATTATATTTTGTATATTTTAATTTGGTTTTGTAACTTGGTCTTATGAGATAACAAGGATTCAATTTTGATTATCTTAGAGGGCAAGGCGGGAAAATAGAAAAGTGACATTTTCTTATGGGTTATTGTGAAACTTTTTGAATTTGTTTATGCAAAGGTATGATATTTTAGAGCTCCAATGTGTTTTTAAGGGGATTTTTTACCTGATGAAAGACGAATTGAATCTTTGTGAGTTGTTTTTACAGATTTAGTACCGTACCTAAGAGGGCACCAGGCATTTCAGTGAGCTCATGGTTTGTGCTGATGTAGCTTTGTCGCTTATGGAGCCAAACTCATACCAGGTGTACATGGATGGCCTCAGAACTGTCCATCCATCCTCTTGTACGTGTAGTTCGTGATAGATTTTATACCGACGCCTCATTTTGCAGGATTTCTTTCAGCCCGTCTGGAATGTAAACAAACGGCTGCAAGGCAACACTGTGGTGTGCCGTTTCTTGCAGCCTGTGAAGTCGGCTGCAATACGGTGTAAAAATAGGGTATATAGTAAATGTGTGAGTAGCTTTTATTGTAGAACTAGACTTTATTTATTGCGCATTTTAGTGTACAGTAGTGGTATTTTATGAAAGGTGTTGACATGCAATATCGTGAAACTGGTCGTTGTCAACGTCCAAGCAGGTGCTTAAACGCTGCTTGTCGTATTTGGGCGAGAACATCAGCAGAACCCTCATTCTCGCTGCACGACCGATCAAAAAGAAGCGCTGGGTCCCCGTCATATCGGCAGAATCAACTATGTGCTGAGATGGCGAGGCTAGGCGTCTGGTGCTTCAGAAAGAAAATTGATCGGTCTCGTTGCGCAAAAAAATTAACTGACAAACTCTAATTGGAGAGTTCAAGAGAGATCTGAAACGAGGAATCGCCCGTTTGTAAATTTGATCTGGTGTAGATAATTTGTACAAATTTAGATATTGCATGCATCACCCTGAAGTGTACAACTTTTATTAATATATGGAAAGAGAAACAAACAAAAAAAGCGTTGTTCGTGACAATGCAAAAAAAAAAAATCAGTTCCAAATAGTTCTGATGTAAACGACTCCAAGTAAACCCCAGAGGACAGCAAAGTGAAAAAGAGCGATAAAAAGAAATATAATATAGCTTGTACTATTATGTACTCAAAAATGGCTGCATATTTCATGTTAAAGACAAATTCCAGCAATTGTAGCTTCTATCCAGAATCATTGTAATTAGTAATAACTATATAGACCTAGCCCCGAACTACTTACCATATTTTCTTTTTATGATTACTCTATTGATTCTGTTTTAAATTTGGTTGATCTTTGGTTTTCAAATAAAGATACCCGGAACTGTATGTTATTGTCCGTATTTGCTGGTGACATTGTTTTGTGTCCATGTGAGCATTCCAAAGTGTGGTCTTCATTTTGAAATACCCAATTAATGCAAAGTACTTTGATATATACCCGAAATGTTGAAGATTTCCGGCATTTTCACTAATGATGCATGCATCTTCGAATTTATAGGCACTGAATACTCGTCAGCCGCGAATTCATGGACCCACTGCACCACTCGCGCGCACTCTCTCATTTAGAAAACACGTACGGCATGAAAACATTCTGTGCCTTTCGTTAGTAACCTTCCACAAGTTGCAGGCACACTGACACAAAAATTCACAAATACAATATTAGGAATAAATGAAATAGAACATAGAAATCAAAGTTTTACCACCAGAGCTCAGGTTGGGCCATTGGGTTTTCGATAAAAGAAGATTTTATAAGAGAAGAAACACGGCAATCTTTTTAACAAAATGTTTCTACAGCATGCGTATTCAAATGATTATTTTCTCTAGTCTACATGAACATACTGCCATGTAGGTAGACACTAAATGAAAATCAGGGTACCATTTCTGTGGCCCCATGCATGAACCTGATATGCCACATTTTCAAACTTTTTGAGTTAGATGCATGGATGTGTCGGGTAATATCATCTTTATTGCTTAAAAATCTCAACAGCAAGGGTGGTCTTTTTTTTAATTATAGAGGGCGGTATTATTCTGACCAAACAGAAAATTTCAAGAAACAAAAGCTTCAACTAGATTTTTTTCAGTTTCATGTCTGTGTGGCATATCAGGTTCTTTCCAGTGTAATAAAAGAATACATATGTATGGGATATATTAATATTTTAGGAATCCCGTCGGTAATTGTTAAATACATCATGGTCTGAGGGGAAGCAGTTGGGATTACTAGTCGAGGGTAAGCAGTTGGGATTACTAGTCCCGTATCTCTATTTTGAAAACCATTTTAAAATGTGGTTTTTATAAAAGGCTGCCAAAAAAAAAAAAAACAATGGTTGATCGTCCTCGTTCCCTAAGCAGTCGGATCGGGCGGGAGGTTTTTCCCTCACGACACCACTTACCTGACATGAAACAATCGGTCATTAGTTTCTCACTTATAAACTTACATTTTTATGTATTTGCATTACTTCTGTAACATTAACTACTTGGAACCATTTCAGGTTGCGGTTTGTTAACGGACCATAAAGTAAATTTTAACTGAATTATCATAACACGTCTAGTATCCTGTTTGTATCGGACGTTCCCACGCCATGTACCATAGGCTTGCTGAAAAGCGGCACAGCTTCGACAAATGTACGGGAGCGCTCTTCTGAATCGTGTATAATGCACGACAAACTTTAAGCACAGCTCAAAGATACTCTGCGAAGTCAGTAAACAAAAACAAAGTTTCCACACAGGCCAAAAAATTAACAAAATTAAAACCATTCAAGTTATCGAAATGATTTCATTTCCTTTATTGATATGTAGGAAGTAATATTGATATTATATACAAACATTTTGTTGAGATTTAGTCCCTCGAAGCATACAACTTGATTCGATTCTTGATGTTAAGCTTTTAATATATACAGCTCAGGGAAACCAGTTTGAACTTCTTCCCGCAATCAAATTTCTCTAACATCAGTAGTCTTTTCATGAACGGTTACAGTTTGAGGATACATACACAGTAGTTAAACCCAATCCAGGTGGCTGGAATTATCTGCCAATGAAAGTCTTAATCTGCCAATGAAAGTCTTAACCGCACATCTCAGACGCTACAGCAAGAAACCCATCTAAAGATAAAGACTGATTTATAGGGAACTTCAAGAAAATATTGCCATTTCACTAATAACGGTCAACCTACAATCTATTTACAACCAAATTAATGCCTACCTTCCAACTTCAAACAAAATAGACTTCTCGACAAATGCAATGGTAGAAGACATTCTGCGCCAAATAGCAAAGGTCTCCACGTGAAAATGGAGCCAAACTAATAAATAGCATTTACTCGGAAGGTTTGGCTCTTTCATCACATACCTGTACAGAGACACAAGTCCTTTAAGCATGCCAAATTAATGAAACTAAAAAGCAAAAATAAAACATAAAACATCTTCTATACTATAAACACAGCTAAGTCTTACGATACATTTTAAGTGAACAAATTACTTCAAGTAAATAAACTTCCATGGAAAGGCACTATATAGAAATAGAAAACCGAATGGCAATACATTTGAACAGTGACAATTTTCTTTAAAAGGCTCTTACTTTAAGAAACCTAGATTGTAGGAAACTGTTAACTTAGGTAATAAAAACGGAAACCTGCCATTAAAATGGTGCAGCGGAGCTCTGTGCTAGTACTCAATGCTTTTCGGCAAGTAACTATTACATATTGCTAGTGGTGTAATTACCAACGAGGTATACCACGCGTACACGACAGAAACTACGAGGTTGACAAGGTTTGATTATACATGGCTGTGAACCCATTTGTTTGGCAGTTTTTGAAATCGGTAGCATTGGTCAGACTGTCTCAGCTGGCTTACACTACAATAAGCATCTAAAACCGAGGAGAAAACAGCCAAAATGACCATAAATACGGCAACAAGTTGAAACAAAACAGAAAATTAAAATACAGTGGAAACACTTAGGTATGTACAAAGCGCAGTCTAACTCTTGACAAGCTGAACGACCCTGAAGAGCCTCTTGTACGCATAAATAGGCAAAGATTAGGATACAGCACCATATTTCTTGGAGTTTGACAAGTCAGAGACGTCACGCATGCTGGTAGGAAACACGCTTCAGACCTGTAATGTATCTTCCCGTATTGTATTTCTGAACGCAGATCTCCACAGGCTGTTTAGCGTGGTCGTGCGTGACCGAAATTATCAAACTTACTTTTATTCCCGAAAGTATTGATGTAAATCCAACGAACACCTGAAGCAAACATTGAACTATATCACTAAACAAGGCAACCGCACTTACGCCTGAATACGGGGGAAAACTAGACAGTCGGGCTGCAAAACTGAAGGATGCGGTTGTAAAAGAAATGTAATAACCAACCTTAGCTTTAAAAGAAAGCATACAACGTTCCACGAGCATTAACCTAGATCATTATGTACATACAGGTGGACACTACAATAAGACCAGACCTGTTTACACCAACTTGCATTATTATTGTACACCGGTGCAAGCTCGTGAAAACTCGCCATTTCAATCAAGTATGTACAACTATTTATAACTCCTCGTTTGTAATTTTGCATTGTCAAAGTTCAGCAGCCAGTTGCATTGTTTTTTTTTTCATCTAACACAATTTGTTTTCCCAGAGAAAAAACGAACACTCCAAAAAACGGGAACAAATCAAATCCCATCAAAACAGAGAACTGCGGGATGTCCAATGCTGTAGGCCTGATCATATCAAAAACAGACCATCAAAAACTTCTACATCCCGGGAAATTTCTTGACCGTATTTCAAGGCACTTGCCGTTTGTATCAACCGTAACTTCTGACAGGTATGCGAAATCAAATTGACGAACAATACTATTCTTTCGATTTTTTTTCGATTAAGATTTTCTGTATAAAAATTACATGGGGCTTCTGGGGGGAAGTATGCTAATATTCGCTCTATGCCAATTCCTAAATTATAATGGCTTATCGAAACTCCTTCAAACAGCATATCGCAAAATGGAAATGAAGAGACCACACTGCCTCCAACAGTTAGCCAATGCAGCATCTCTTGCTCAATGCTCCCAATTACAAATTACGGTGGCTTCTTCCGGCCAACAACACAAAAACAGACCATTAATGACGCGTTTGCTGAAACGGCAGGGCCTATGTCTAGCTGAAGTTAGCCTTTACATTGTAAGATAGCATAAATGAACTAAAATGTCACCGAAACGAAACGAAATTGGAACACAACACAGCTACGGAATTCCACTGGTTTTTGATAAGCAGCTGCACTTTGAATTTGATCTTTGGATCGGCTAATCTTTGGATGCAAATCTCAGTTGCTATTGGCTGCAACTAAAATAGATTTCTACTCGGAAAAAAAACCTCAAGGCAGGTTTTTAATTAACCATTTTCAAACATTCAAAAAGGATCTTTTTTTTAAAAATTTTAATCCACTTGGTACATACCATGGAAAAAAATAAAAAGCTGCTCAATTGCTTAATTAGGTTTGCCAAGACTGGTTTGACAAAAAGTGGCGATACCGAAAACAGAACGGGCCGTTTCTGTGGTTTTAACTATGCGAAAACAGAACGGGCCGTTTCTGTGGTTTTAACTATGGGAAATTTCAGACAAATTCTTGGGTTTTTCCCCTTTCCTGCAGTTCCTGTACAACCATTAAACCAGAGAAAATCTTCAAGGCAAACACACATAATTACATATATATTAATATATATATACATAACTCCACCTTGGAAAACTTTGAAAATATTTCTGAGGTAGATAAAAGATTTCTCTCCTGAAACTGAATTTCTTGTACGAGATGAATCAAGCTGATCAGCGTTTTGACTACACTGGTTTCCCCCCCCCTCAATTTTTTTCAGGAAGCTTGCGGGCGAGCTTTGCTCATCAACTGAATAAATATGTTAAGAATCAAACACAAGAAAAACACAAATGGCATTGACAAAGCCTAAGTACCCTGTTTTTCCATTTCCTATGCACTTCTAATTACGGTGCACGTAAGAGACGCACACGCCCTTTAAAAATGCTGTCAATGTGGGATGCGTTTCCACGGACACTTCACATCGCTGATGTTACAGACAAGGTTTCCAAGGGTGAATCTATCATTTTAACGCCTGTGCTAATATTTATCAGTGCTTACTTTAAAAATGTATTTTTGTTCCATTTGGAATAATGTCTAGGAACCAAAGACATGTGAAGTCTTTCTGCAGACACTGTTTTGTAAAATCCTGCTGTGTGTCTATGACAAAGCCACGGTTATTGCCGCCAAAAAAAGATATTGCATAATTTTTAGAGGAAAAGCAAGATGACTGCAAAATGTAGGTGATATTTGATTTTTTCCCCAGATTAATATACTTTTCCGATTATACTTTCCATCAAGTGATACAAATGTGTCATTTATTATCTTTTTCTTTTAAGGAATAAATTTTGGGAGTCTTCTTCCAGAATATCTCCAAAACATAAGTTCATCCGTTACAGTAAGCATGCACAAGTCTTTTCTTATTTACAAAATATTTCAAGAACCCTCACGGTACTTCAGATTCGAAAACACCTTCTCTTAAAAAACAACAAAATCTACGAAAAGAGAACAACTGCAAATGCATTACCAATGAAATGACCACACTCTCTCCAGCTCTCCCTCAGAGTATATCTTTCATCAGTGTTGCAAATTTCTCTCGACATTTCTTTGATGGAAGAGATAACTAAATGGGTTGAACCCAACAGTTGCATTTTGGTAAAACCTTTGCCTGGGTCATTTGGACACTGGCAATTTTTTTCTTGGTAGATGCTTCTCAAACAAAATGAATTTTGAATAAATAAAAATATAGTTCTTGGCAGTATTTCAAGGGGGAAAAAACTCGACTAATATTTTAGGCTTATATTGAAGGAGTCCGTCCTACAAGACAAAAAGGTCCTAAATTAACTAAATCTCTATTAAATGTGGGATAGGCCCATCGCACCTTTCGGAGTTCCAATGTTTAACTCTCTAAGATGATGTAATCACGTTTGAACACCACTGTATTTCTTCAGAGAGGCTATGCAGGGGCCTACAGCTACCAAGCACATGATAGCACCGCTGGAGTCACACGACTCGGGAAATTCTAACCCTATAAACATCAAAACAGGGGGCTTTCTGCTTAAATTCAACCTATCTACAAAAAGCAACGACCCCCTTTTAGTTGCCAAAGATGGAGAGAATTGGCGGGTCACTTCCCAATGGCCACTCCCCTTTGGGCCTCAAGTGAAGGAATTGATCGTAACCGAAGCAACAAAAAAAAAAGAAAAAAGCAAAACAATATGCCGGGGGAGGGTGGATTTACACGATGGACTCGTCGGCATTGGCTGGGGAATACTTGACATCGTTGTCATCGTACTTGTCTGTTCCCGGTTCGAGGTCGCCGCCCATGACTGTTCCGTGCGCTTTGTGGGCATTGATGGCCTCCAACCGATGTAGTTTCAACGCGGGCCCCCAGGACGGTTTGGAGGTGGTGGCCCGTCGGAAACGCTGAAGGAGAAGGAAACGGTAATTCAAAATATTTCTCCCAAAACAATTGCAGAGATAAGCTGACGGGAGTGGGAACTCCACCTGTGACCTCTGGACCACCATGCCGGAACTCTACCAACTGTGGCTCCTCTCAATTGTCAATGTCTTTGTTTGGAGGATGTTGGCTAGTCAGAAGCCATAAAACCAAAAACACCATACAGCCAGGGATCACGCCCCAAAAGGCATGATGCAAGCATGGCAAATGAAGATCGCTCAAGGAGGAAACAGCCTTTCTGAACACAAATCATCTAAAAACTAGACAGGAATACTGGCTATGTGGTTTGTTTGATTACTTTTGTTTGCCCAACAACTTTTGGTTGTGGGGTAAATTAATTTTAATAAAAAAAAACAACTAATACCTTAACAGCATTTCCAGTCCTCCAATCAATCACTCACGAAGTCAAACACAAAAACCATGACATGTGTTGTAGAATATGACCATCGATTTTCAGGAACCAGAGGCATAACTTTTAACGACAGCTTCCTATCGACTACCACTTTTTCCCCCAAACACCACAATCCAATTTTAAACGGGGCAAAGCCGACGCGTGGGCAAAGACGAACTCCCCGTTCAGTGTTGAGGGGACCCGGCCTTACCTCAATGATGTTGCCCTCTCCTTTAAACACCAGCTCGTATATCATGACGGTGGGGATGGCCGATATGCTGGAGCTGATCATGACCCAGCCAATGATGTGGGCCCCCATGGGGAAGTCCTTCTCGCCGGCCTTGGGGACCTCCCAGTCGATCCAGTTGAACAGAAGGACAAACTGCAGGGGGGAGGGGGTAGAAAGCGAAAACAGTGAAAGAGGAGGGAATCCACTAGCTAACTTGCGGGCCATCTTCCAAGGACACTTTAGTCTAAAGTCCAGAATTTTCTGCTTTCTGAGAGTCAAATTCTGCTCTCTAAATTTTGTATACAAAAACTGTATGTGACTGTACATATGTACTGTAGGCCCAACATTTACCGTACTTCTACAGGTATCTTTGGCATATTGATACATGTAGGGCCTACACGCACCACGCCACTGTGATCTTGGACTGGTCCCCGTCCCTACTGATTTATTCATAAGCCGTGAGACGTCTGAGCACTATGTAGGGAATGGGGACGTGTGTGATCTCCACGGTGCGGAGCCGGAGGAAATCAATACCAAATTCTACGATATCGCAAAGGAAAAACAGGAGGGGAAACTTACTTTCAAAGTGAGTTAAACAGTGAAAATGAGTTGTCATTCCTCATTTGGGTTCATATTTATTTGATTAATTGTGCAGAAACAATAAAAAATATTTAGTTGTTTTATGTCTTTATTTTTTTTCCCCCAAGAATTGCGTTTTCTGCTTTCTATCCCCAAATCAGTGATTTTTGCAGATTTTTTGCGAAGCAGACGGTGTACTTGCCAAAATGGCAAACAAAAACATGAAACAAAAAAAGACTTCTGAAAGCACGATACTAAAACTGCCGAGGCGTGATTCCAGTCGCGTTATTTCTACAAAGCAATATTTACCGAGAGAATGGCAGGCGTAAGAGCACACCACTGAACACCCCACCACTTGAACAAGGGGAAGTCCACCAGCCGATCCGAAATCATGCAGCGGATGTCATTGAAGAATCGCCGTACGCCGTACAACCAGCCCAGGCCAATGCACTCGCACAGGCCGAAGATCAGCAGGGCAAAGTCGGCGGCATATTTGTCCATCAGGATCACCCAATAATTACCAGCCTGTAATCCGTGAAAGAAGAAAAAATTTTTTTAAATGCCTCGTCATTTTCTCACGGCCTCGAAACTTTACTAAAAAACCTCAGAGTCCGAGAGAAACGAAGGCACTCCAAAAAGTCTGTTACATTAGAATTGGCCATAACACATTTGTGACCCGCTCTGTAAAATGAGTCACAAATCTCCCGAGCTATTTTTGAGTTTTACTTTGTATTTGATTGGGGAATTTGAGCTTTTCCTTTTGATGTGTCCCTCAGTTTGGTACAATAAAATGGATGTTATGTAGATGTTAAATTGTTAAAAATGATTGCTATTGATTAAACACTGTGCAACATTCTCTCAAAGGCCTTCAACTCCAAAGTGGCTCTGACGAAATGTGACTCATTTTCACTGAGCAGGTCACATTTCGATTTGTTGGCAAATAAAAAAGATGTATGATCGGACACCACAAAATGAGTCATAAGACCTTTTCTTTTCGGCAATATCATTTTAGTTTGCCTTAAAAAGAGGAAACTGGGCTCTATGTATCCCTCAGTCTGGCACCCCGATGAAAATGGACATTATAAGGAAGAGAATATTGAGGGCTCCGACTGATTTTCACTTTGTGAGATTCTTTCCAAGACCTTCAACTCCAACGGGGCTGAGGCAACTAGTGACTCCTATTAGGTTGGGTCAAGTAATACATACTGTCCCAGGGGTAAGAAGACGTTGAAACTCACCTGAGTCACACAGTTCAGGCCCACAAGGAAACCCAGCGTGGAGTACATGGCGAGAACCCAGAATTTTCTCGATCGCAGATAGCGGGGGAACTCATCCACGATGGACGTGACCACAGTCTCCACAATGCAAAGCTGCAAGAAGTAAAACACGTCCGAGAATGTTTGAATATCAAATTGGGACGTCGCCGTCGGCCCTTTAAGGCTCTGATCAAAGTGCCCATACCACTGAGTGAGTACTTACATCTTCCAAATCAAAAGAAAAGAAAACCAAATATCATAACACAGGGTTGTGATTAGTTTCGGCACATCCAACCTTTGTTTGCGCCAAGGGCATTCCAACATGACAGATGACAGTAGAGCTCTTTGACACTGACAACAGTGCTTGTGAAACTTTGTTATCACTTCAACTAACAAATTGGCTGGTTACATTCAAGGTTGGATGTGTAATTTCAAAGACCAAATTTCCATCTTTGGAAAAATCACAACTACACAACGAAGCGCACACTCTGTGCAGATGCTCCTTAAAACAAAACAACAAAGAAAGGGTTAAAAACAACTTACACGTGTAAGGTCCCACGCATGCCCGCACAATGGACCATAACCTACCTTCACCCGTACTTTGAACGGGTTCCAGCGTCCAGCACCCCCTCCGTCCAACACTCTGAATAGGGACTAGACTGACTACAACCTCAAAACAAAACCTGTTGGCTAACTTTTCCGCAGCCAATGGAAGTTTGTATTCCTTGTCAGTGTTTTTTAATGCACAGTCCAATAGACTTTGGATAATTTCCAACTCTCACTTTGTAAGACTGCAAAAGCTGCAGCAAGACAGCGGCCCACAAGTTACTTCACCAAACATGCTCCTCAAAACGTTAGACGCCGTATTTCAGGTGCCAACAAGTCCCGTTTCGCGACTGTACCCAGTGGGGTCAATGGCAGCCCCCCTCAGGCCACCTTCACACCACAGCAAGTCCCTCTCATTTACCTGGCTTCCTAGCCCCAGCGTGAGAAGCATGAAAAAGAACAATAAAGACCAGAGCGGGGATATTGGTAGTCGTGCTACAGCTTCCGGATAGGCGATGAAAGCCAGGCCGAACTCTGGAAAGTGTAAAACGGAAAAGGGGCGATATATTGCCGTTAATACTCCATAGTCATGTACCGGCGTGCGTGTGTGTGTCACATACAAGGCACCCCTGTTACAATCCAGAGGGTTTCGGTGGGTTAGTCGGGCGGGGCAGAGTTTGAAATGGGGAGAGAGAAAGGAGAGGCATAGCGTACCTTCCTGTACGACTTCCGAGACGGGAACCTTGAGTTCGTAGGCCATGTTGCCCATGATAGAGAAGATGACAAAGCCGGCAAAGATGCTGGTGGCACAATTGATTACTGGCACAATCATGGCATCCCTGAGGTAGCACAAAAATCAAAACGAGAAATAGCGTCCATCAGCGTAACCTGACAGCTGAAAACTGATCAGCTTAGGAACCTTATTTGAAAAGGAATAATTCACGTACGTGCACATACGTGTCTGTGGGAAACCTCACAACGAGAAGAGCCCCCTCTGCCAGTAGAAAAGATGGCAGTTGTGTTTGAATATGGTTTTTCTACTTCGGCATCACCTTTTTGAGCAAGTTCTCCCACTAAAGTCAGCGAGCTCTTTTGCATGCTTGCCGTCGGAAAGTCAGGCGGCTCTGATGACAAAACTTAGTTCACTTTGTTGCGCCATGAATTTCTATCTTGCATGCAGTGCCAAGGAAAACTGTTTCCACAAAGTATAATACAAAAATTTTTTAAGCCTGGCAACCAACGTCCGAGGCATCTTGGGCCCACCTTCAACTGAAAGCAGACGGAGTCACGTGGAAGTTTTGGTTGCAGAATGGAATCATTCTCCAAATTGCTTACCTGAAACAGTTGTTGTGAAATTTGTTGTAGGACGACAATGTGATCAGACCACCCCAGGAAGCACTGAGCGAGTAGAAGATCTGAACGGCGGCATCCTTCCATACCTACGGGGGGAAATCAGCGACACATTTAAAACTGACTTCGATCTAGCTCATGAGTCCACACACTAGACTGTGATCCACAGGCCATCGGGCAGGAACAAGTTGAAGGTGCAATTTACTGCAAATGACTCTAACTGTAACAGACAATTAAGCGCCGACATTCAACTTTTTTTTCAGGTTTTCTCACCTTTTGTTGATGTCCATGTCAGGCATGAAACTTGAACTTTGACAAAAAACTACAAAGGATTCTGCAAAAAACCCACCCATATATCAAAAGAGAACTAACTGAAATACAGCAATGTTTCACACGATGCATTTGGTTTCCTTATCAAAACTCCTTATGTAGACAATGGCCTCTGTATGGTAACTCTACACACCACCACTCCAAAAAGAGTTCTGGTCAAAGCCTGGAAGCAAGCTGCAGACGCACCTTGGGGTGTTTCAGCAGTTCCCAACGAGGTGTGATGAAAAATTTGACTCCCTCCTGGTATCCTTCTAAAGTCACTCCACGGATCAGCAGGATCAAGAGAACCACATAAGGAAAGATGGCCGTAAAATACACAACCTGGGGAGATCAAATAGCAATATTTCAATCACGATAAAATACAGATTCGTAATTCATATCAATGACTAGAATTTAACTCACTTTGGAATTCTGTGCATCGAGGGGTATTTCTTGAAAGGCCAAAATTAAGCCTTTCCATATCGGGCACCATTGCAAAAACCAACCTAGAGTTAAGTGGTTTTCTGAGAGCTCTGTGAACTGCACAAACGAATGTTTGAATCTCTCAACAATTATGCTTCGCTTTATCACAAAAGATTGAAGACACTGGCTCTCTCTGGCCACAATGGGTATTGCATTGTGTGTGTGGCAGCAACGGTCACGAAATGGTCAGGTTATCCTGTTTCTTCAACATTTCCAATTATCGTGAATCTGAATTATTTCGAATTCCAAAAATTCTAGCTTCATGTTTAACCTTTGTTCAGTGCCTATCCCCCCCAGAACACTTCAACAGTACAGACCAACGGTTACTTGACAAATGTTCCGCTTCATCAACACAGCCTGGTACTTCTCATTCCCTACCTTGCCTGATGACTTGACGCCTTTGGCCAAGCAGACGAACACCAGGACCCAGGCTAGCAGCAGGCAGAGTGCCAGCTCCCAGATCACGTAGCCAGACTTAAAGATGTCTCCGGAATCGTGCAAGACTCCCTGCCTGCAGACCAACAGAGAGGAGGGAGAGGACACGTTATTAACTGTGCAATGACAGAAAGCTACGTTTAAGCACACAAGTTCTAATTTAACATTACTAGGCATGTCCTCTGCTCTTTGGTCCTCAAAAACAAAAACTAGGAACACAGAATCTGAATTTTTCACCCTATCTGATAAAAATGAGGAAGTGGACGGAGCTTGAAAGAAATCAGTGGGAACTGTCAATGCGTAAGTAAAAATATGCATTTTTCAGCATGAAATCAAACTGAGCGTGACATCAAAGGAAGAGCTCTCTCAGAACAGCACAAAGAAAGGAAGTGAAAATGTCCCTGAGATATGGTCAAATTCAAAGTTGAATATCAGGGTCATTGTTATGCATCACCAAGCAAAGAAAATATTTGCCTAGAAGAAGTATATTAATGGCCAAAATGTCACGTATTAAAGACTAAATTTGCAGTGACCGGTTTATGTCTCATTTGTGTTCAGTGCATGGATTTCCTAAGCAGTCATTCAATGCTTGGCAGCTCCAGTGACCTTTGCCCTGGATGATGAATGACTCGACCTGCTGTTCTCCCTGCTCGTCAACCCACCTGTAGTACTCCTCGCTGGGTGGGACGCGCATGTTGTACAGAGGGTCCTTGTAATTGGAGATGTTGCCGTCCGCTGTCACGTTGTACTGGTTCAGCTCGGCTGTGGTCATGTTGGCGATGCTGATGCACTCGTTCTCGACTGTCACAATGCCACCATGCTCCAGACACTCGTTGACCAGGGTGCTGCAGAACTCCGAGTTCCACTGGTGGTTGCAGCCCACCCAGGGCAGCGTGGTGGTCATGGACTTGACAATGTAGAAGATAGTGTAGCAGATGATCACGTTGTAGTAGATGGCCACCAACGCCGACACAATGACCATACCATAGCCGACACCTGAAAAACAAGTAACTGAGCATCTTCACCTGTTGGTATATACATGTGTGCTACAATCAAACTGGATGGCTGACTTCTGCCAAGTTCACTGGTTGGCTGGTCAGACAACAGACAACGACAGACTACAGAATACCTTTTGGCTAAAGACACCGCAGGCATCTTCACCACTTAAAAAAAAAAGCCTCGCAAATGACCACCTCGAAATGTCTTTACAAACCACAGAAGGCAGGGATGCATTCTGCCTCCCTGGAAACTTATGGCTGTGGCTCAAAATTACACATGCCCTTATGAAAGCCACTACCTAGTGGCCGCAAATACTTCCAATAGGCCTTGGGTCACTCCTGACCACAGCTGGATGATTCAAGCACGGCCAAAGGATTATGACGCAGACCCGCACTCACCTCGGAATAGCGGCAGGGCACGCCAGACGCTGATAGGCCCACAGCTGCCATACTGGCCGAAGCTCAGCTCCAGGAAGAAGAGCGGCAGCCCAGCAAAAGTAAGCATGATGCAGTAGGGGATGAGGAAGGCACCTGCAGAGGGGACAAGCAAAGTCAAGGGTCCCTGTAAATGGGATACACTCTTTCGGGCAAGAGACAGGAGGGTGAGAAATCCAGGGACCATCTAGCAGAAAGGCTGGAACAATGACATCAATAAATTCCACCTTTTCCAGGCTTTTAGTACCTTGCAAGGAATGTTTCTCCAAAATGGCAATGATTATGAGAACGCAGCACTTGTGTTTTTTGGACAAAGTGGAAAAATGTCGCAAACCTTGAATGCCCGAACCTCTAAAAATCCAAAATTGCAAAGCAAAAAATCCTGAAAATACCACAGGAATAACTTCAGTTTATAAATGCAGCTTCACTTCCATTCTGTCTGTGTTCAATGCCTCAATAACACAACCCCCTTAAAAAAAAAGGTCAGCAAAATTTGACACCGACACAGCACGAACAACTTTGATTTAAATATTTCCTGGATGACATATAAACAGCCGGCACATACCAGGGTATGAGCAATTCTTTACATGTATTTGAAGTGTCTGGTACATTTACGTGACGCATGAAGACGTCCTCTATACAAATCCATAAAAACATACACGTATTTAGGAAGGGCACATTGCTGAATGCTCGTGTAAAGTATGTGACCCCACAGTCACAACCTTTCACATTTCTCAGGCAAAATTCCTGTGGTACATTACCTCTAGGGATACATTGCCATTTCCCAAAATGAAAACAACACAGCCTCCCACTTAATGGAACACGAATCCCAGTTCCTGAAAACCATCCCCTCAACTTTAAACAAACTGATCCTTATTTTTAAAACACATTATATTGTATCTCTTACATTTGAATGGAATCCTAAATTTGGAATTTTAACTGGTTACATCACGATCTTGCGACGATTCACTGCATACCAGTCTTTATCACTTGTTTGCCCCAATGTGCACAGCACTCTTTGAAAAAGGACTCAGATTTTTTTTTTCAATGTAGCTTTTCTACACCACAAAACATAACGAGCATCTGTGGAATTTCGGCCCATTGTGAATCCATTGCAGTAGCCAGTGTTAGGCATTCAAGGACCTGCTTAAAAGGAGAACTCTTCAGAAATCCGGGGGGGAGGGGAATGGAAAGCAGGTGAATGAATCTGGAACAAAATGTACGACGCTCAGAATAGCCAGTATACCAGTTGGTTACTCAACCGTGTCATCGCCCACTCAACTACCCTCTCATCACCCACGCACTACCTTATCTATCCATGGGTAAGTGGAAGCTGATCTGTCTAAAGGCGTGTTTCCATTGGACTTTTTCTTCAACGGTCACGCAGAAACTTACCATGACATTCCTTCATGTCCATCTACCACGCATTCCCACATGGACTTTTTTTACCATAATTGGAAGTTTATTTGCTGTGTTAGGCCTAATAAGACCAGCTGATTACATTGCCTGCACTGCACAAATCATGACAAAATCAGCAAAATCTGACAAAAAAATGACAAAATCAGACGAATTCGGTCAAATCTGCCACAAATGAGATGAACCTGTACAGTTAAGCCCCCGTACACAATGTGTGTAAAGCTTTATCCGAGCACGCTTCACTGTGTGTGCGTGGCATGCTGTTGCACTGTACACACAGAGCTGGAGACTGGGAACCATACAACCACTTTTGCGTGCCCGCTGTCAATCTCAGTGTAGGCAGTAGTCCCATTGGACTGTTTTGCCCACCTGCTAACTTACTGTGGCTCGTGGAAATCTTCGGCCTGTTAATTTTACATTGCGATAAGTTGACAGGGACGGTAGTGTACTGTGTGTTCCCACTGGATTAAATTTTGTAATTCTACAGGAAAGTCACGGTAAGTTAACCAAAAAAAAAAAAGTCCAATGGGAACACAGCTTAACTTCAAAGGACACGGAAAACTCACACAGCTCACATACATGTAGTCCCAGCACAGTTGGTGGTAATTTTTTCTTCAAAAAAACAAACAAATACAAAAGAATCCCCCATAAAAACTTCCCAGAAAATAAAGATGGTTGGCTTCCAAAAAGCAGGAATTTCAAGCCACTGCAGTGATTTCACCATGCAGGCTGATGCAGCTGATATTCATATCCTCCAATAGTTGATTAGCAATATGAATGACCTTACACGCCTATCTATTAAGGTTGTGCACTCATTTCTTTAGTAACATGTGCACCACTAAAAAGGTTAAAGACATTGAAACAAGGGAAATTACACTCAGTAATTCTGAAATACTACGCAAGAAATCACAACAGCCATGCGTTTCATGTAATGCTTACATGGCACAGTTCATGAAATGAAAAACAGAATCAATGTTCACGAATGCAGCTCGAATAAGGTTGCGACAGAAACTTGTCAGGGAATGCCAACTGGAACTTTTTCCTCCCTTGGCGTGAAACCATAATATGAGGTATGAACAATGTAGCTCTTGAGTCTTAAAGGCAGCATGCATGTACCTATGCATGTCCCTTTGGCAAACACAATTAATGCCAACATATGTTACTAAATACAGTTACAGTACATGTAAATGAACATGTACTGTGTTGCCAAGGATGGCGTTCAGCGTATGCATATTCACATGAAGGCCTACATTGTGTCTGCACTTCCACTTGTGTCCCCAAAAATCTTTTGTCCAACAACCATTTCGGAGAACTCATTCCAAGAAGAAAAGTACACACATTGCGCGCCTACACCCGCATCCCAATATATATAACACGACCAAAGTCAACAAAAGACTAGCCGATTTATTGATTTTTGTATTGATGACGAGTACTCTCCCGCCAAAAGGACATAATCAGTCCCACCATTTGGAGGAAGGCCAAACATCCAGTGATAGCCCCTGCCATGTTGTGCGTTACAGCCTTGGATGGGTCGCTGGCCCCTCCAGCCCGGAATGCGTTATGCAACCCTATGGCAACAGGACCAGACAACAGGACCAGACAACTATGTGCTTTTGTTACCAAACACTTTCTATTCCCTGATCTCGCCCTGAAATTTCCTCTCTCTCTAATCCTATTGACCAACGCCCCATTGGTTCAGTGTCCAGGCGTACAACAGAGACATGTATAGAGAGAGTGAGTGACTTGCCAAATAAAAGCTCCCAATTAGGCCCCTCGCAAAGACGCTCTCTTGTTGCTTGTCATTTGCACATCAATACGCTGAAAGGCTATGATTAGTGGACATTGAGTTACTAAAAAGCGCCTTCTGTGAAGTTGAAGGGGCACCACATTCCAGAGTCTACATTCAGACTCGAAAGGGGGGGGGGAGACTTATGTGAACACCTACAGGCACACTACTGCTGGAGACTGTATGCCTGGTAGACTAGACCCACCAAGTCGCTTTTAGAAGAGGTTTTGGCAATCTCATGCAGGTGCTGCCTATGGCTGAATATGGTTGATCAGAATTAGAAGCCATAACTGGGGCGGCATCACGCTCGTGGACAGGTGGTACACACACGTAACATGCCTCTTCGAACAAGACGATGCTTTGATTAGCAAAAATCATGCACACCTCAAAAAATCAATGCAAAGTATGCACACACTGTGTATACTGCAGTAATGTCTCCTTCAATCAGTGATCAGTTTACATTTACATATATGCGAGACAAGCTGGATTTTTATCCTATGCCTTCCTGGGCTAAAAATGGATAAAGAAATGAGAAAAAGTGATGCAAGATTTTCCGTAAAATTTGCAAGACCCTCTAGGAGAAATTTAAGTTCCGGAGAAATGAAAACGAAGCAACAAATAAATATAAACTGTCACTGCTCAAAATGTTCTCATTTAACTCGAAAAACTTTAACAAAACAACCCCCCCCAAAAAAAGACGGCTCCTATTTGAATTTGTAAACAATGCGTGAATATGGGTGCATACAAACATTCTAACACCTGGTGGCATCATCAATCATGAACTTGTAAAGTACAATGCAATACACACACGTATGTTTCAACACTCTACGGTATATTTGATAACCACATCAGTCATTTGTGCCCGCGTAATGTGCATCATTTATGTCATTGTTTACACTAACACAAGCAAAAACTTTTAAAAAAGGAAACTTCCAGGTCAATGCAATGTTGCGTTTTGAATCTTCTTTGCTTCAACAAGTTAAAACGTTTCTTTTTCTGATCAGATCTGACCATTCAATGCCATCACAGCTGGGGGTAGATATACATGTACTCTCAGTTGCCAGATTTTTCATCTGAGAGGGGGGACAATCCCACTGCTTAACCTTGTCATGGCAATGAAGCCGCATCCATTCATCAGCATTTAATCTGACTGAGGGAGGGACCAACCGTGCACATGTCCTAACCAATGCCCGTGACCATCTCACTTTATCAAGTGTTTTCTAAGGGCAGAGCAAAAGGCCAGTTTAAAGAGACCCACTCCAATTCACTTGGATATTTTCCAAATGGGATTTATTAGAAGATCAATATTAAAAGTATCACATGATGCTGTCTCCTGCGGTTACAAAGCCTGCCCTTGCGTGACAAGCTCTAGGGTGGCATACGCATTTCTAACTGTCTCCTAAATGTACTTGAGATAAGAAGTTTTTTAAAAAAAATTACTTCTTGGAATCTCTTGGCCTTGAACTAACCCTAATTCTGCCGGCACCTGAAAAGGGCTCATTACTTAGATTTCCCACCGAGTTTCAAGATCAAAATAATAAGCCAGGAGGGCAAACTTATGGCCACAATTCCCAGGGCTGGTAACAAATCCAAGATCAAGCCAATCTGGCCCGTTTATGAAAGCTGTGAAAGCTGCTCTTCTCTTTTGGCAAATTGTAAGTTTGGTCGATTGACACTCAAAAAGCACTGATGTATAGGAAAATCACCTGCATACATGTACATGTAGCTGGCTCTCGAATGACACCCCTAGATTGATCGAGAATATGTGCTTTTAAAGCTTGTGCAGTCCCATTACATTTTTCCCCATCAAACTTTTCCAAGATGCTGTACCAATTTTTCAGAAACTCTGAATATAAAATTCTAGTACAATTTTTCTTAAGCATCCTCTGTCATGAGGTAGAATGCACATCTGTGTATTTTCAATTTCAAGCTGATGAGCGTACAAGTTACATACATACGTGCCACACGTGTCAGTGTGACATATTTGTACCAAGGAGGCACAGCCTTTTGTCTAAATACTACACACTTCCTCCATCCTTGTACACTTCCTCAAATGTTTACATGTTCACCAGGTTAAATAGAAATTTCCTTGTTTTGTGACTGGAAACGCATGCATACCTGCATTTACTTGTGTTCTATTGCATGACTAGAAAACACTGACGTGTGTACCAGGTTTGACCTCTTCAAAATAAGTCATGGTACCAGCACTTCCCGGAATAGAGAGACACTTTCATTACTTCAGCGGAAGTGAACGCTTTCCCAACTCCCAATGCATGGGGTTTGAATAACACGGATAATATTCAGTTTCTGTCCAACACTAAGCTCTCTCTATTCGCAAATATCTGTGCACACAGAGTATTGTGTACATTGACGGGAATACTCGTACCTCATCAAAATTTCTCATGTTCTCCATTTCGATTCTTATGTAAGATACAGTATCGTAACTGTTCCCACTCATTTTTGCATTTTCAACGTTGTGTAACTTTACACCGGTAGGACCTTATGTCTACCTTAAAGATGAGGAAAAATATCTTCAGGACTTCCCAGGGAAAACGGGTAAAAAATGCTATCCATTTTCATTTTGCATGTAGATTCCCCCCCCCTGATTTCACTGGATACATATAGAGTGCATTCAATCATCGCCTGTCAATTTGCTAACAAGAGTTTTTTGACAGCTATGGGTCTGCATATAGAATAAAATCATCGGCTACTCAAATCTGATGGCTCTAAGGGATTTGTGGGTCCTTCATAAATATTTAAGGCCACAAAATAATCACTAGAAGAAAACGCAGGTGAAATTCAGATTCAAAGGAAATCTTTCACAAGTTTATGCAAATCTTCCATCACAACTGATGGATATCTTTCAATGGGACTGTCATGTGATAATGTGGAAAAAAATATATCGAAAAATATTGGATTGATTATGATTTAGTGACTCAAATATTTGGATCCGAAAAATGAGAATGATGAAAGTTCTGCTTCCAACTGAGCCACGCTGAATTTGGGGCTCCCCACTTTAACGTTGTTCATGTTCATGTGCCCACAATGACATGAATCTCATTCCCATGTCTGCTTGAATGCATCCTTCACTAACTAAAACAAAGCCTGCGCATAACAGCATGCCACGTGCATGTAGGCCTACATGCACATGTACATTTGCAAGAGCCTCGCAAAATATGCAGTCAATGAGCAGACGCACTCCAAACAAGGACATGACCCACTCTGTGACGACAGCCGGGTTCACCCCACACTGAACCTGGGGGGGTTGGTGTCAGTGAGCATTCTCATTTGTTACTCGTAGTCGGGGCACAGAACGGAGGTATTAAAAAAGATCATGTGACGTACATGCACACTGTGGAAGGGCAGGCAACCTGACGTACATGTACGTATACATGTTCGCATGGACCAAGCCAGTCATTCTTCCAGCTAGCCTGGGTGCTGATGTTGTAATTCAACACCTCGGAGTCCCTATGGGGCACTAAACGCAACAGACCATTTTGCTCTCAACATCCTGTCCGAGCTGATGGGTTGGGCTGACCTACATTATGGGAGGAAATTATACCTTCTAGATTATGCAGAACAGGAAGCATCTTTCTTGAACTGTTAAACTAGACCAACACTTACAGCCCCAAAGCAAGGGAAATGGGTGACTGATAAAACATCAAATGCAATCATCATCATTTTTATCACCAACTAATCTACATTTTTGAATTGTTGGACCTATAATGCAAGTGCTGATTTTTTTTCCTTTTTCCTGGCAACATCCTCTTTGTGTATATTAATACGTAAGATTTGTAAAATATTTATGCAAGATGGAAATCACAATACTAATTTGTTTCCAGTCTGTCACAATAGACAGATCATGATATGAACCTTTCAACTTGGCAGCTAGACATATCATTCTTACATTTCAAACAACCATCAATTACCGAGGATGAAAAATACCACATCAAGAACGCCCCCCCTGAAAAAAAATGCTTCGAAAACTTTTCAAAGATTTTAAAGAACAAACCACAAAAAAGATACATTTCAACAGCTAAAGAGCACAATTATTATTTTTTTCAGTTCAACTGGGCATGGAATGACACTTCCAATCTCTTGAGGAATCTTCTCCAACAGGAAGCCTTGTTGGTTTCCCTCGATGAGCTCTTCCTGCTCGGGTGAAACATCAGAGTTCAAAAGGACATATGTTCCCTGAAGGTCCTGGACCAGGCATCAAACAAGCGAGTCACTGTGCATGTAGTAAGGAACTCTGATACCTAGCCAAATCTGAAAACCTGTCCTTTGTCAACTGAATTAAGTCCATCAAATCTTTTTGGAATTTCAAGGGGGTGGAGAACCATAAAGCAGCACAGGTGTCATTTCTACGAGAGAATCAAATAATTCAGGTTTTGGCAAGTACATTTATACTGGCAATCACCGTATCTATGTCTCTGTATTAATTTAAGAGAAAGTTTTCAGTCTGTATGACCACCATTTCCAAATTATGCAGTTTCATGAATTCTTTTTGTCAAAATATCAATATCCATGGCCCATTCAGGGTCAAGTATGAAAAAAGCAGATAGAGTTCTCTCTCGATTTCTTCAGTTCTCTTAATTTCTTGATTTTCTTTTCCGTTGGAAACTTGACTGGTCGCATATACTGGTACCTTTAACGCTCAATGCAACAGCTAGATTATCATGCGCGCCAGTTCCTTTCTAAACTGAATTATCTCTCCAGTCTGTTAGGATGGATTGAGATAATGATCGCTAGCGGATACTTAGAAGTCGGCAAGCATCGTGTCAGCTATTCATTGCAGCATTAACCCTGATCTCCGGTAGAGTGCACAGAGCCGCATGGGATTTGATGAGCTTGCTTATTATGCGGAACGAAATTAACATATCAGTAGACAGCATACTGATGCTCCTACTGAGAGCAGTTCCAAATTACTCAACAGTTGGTGAAAATATCAAAGTAACTTTTACTTTCAAAAAGAAAGAGACATTCTGAAACCATTTTGAAATGCAGTATAGGCCTACATGCAGTGGTACAGGTGCATGGGAATAAAATTCACAAGCTTGTTGCAAAGTGCAATATAATTGTCAAACTCTTCTATTCTGCTTGATTCTCTTATTTTCTATTGGCTGCGTCTTCTTTGCACTTGAAATTTTGTAGGGTTTAACTTGGTTTTCTGCCAATTTCCCTTAACAATTGACCGCCCAGTGCCAACAGCCATTCAGATGCCAGCTTTCCAAGGAGCAGAGGTACCAGGGCAGAACCAAACACTAATTGAACTCACAGCTGGATCTTGGGGCATGGGTAGCCGTGACCTCCCCCAAGGTTAGGGTGAAAAGGTAACCTGGTGAAACTAGGACACTCAGTTTTAGTATGCATATGGACTTGTACACTGCTGTACAATGTAGTCTAACTGTTTGGGAATAGGTTTTAATTAAAAAGAAAAAATCTTATTATCTGTGGTCCCTTCTATCGACCTGCCACAGATGATGAAGTCCCCAAGAATTGATGACCAGCATATAGTTAAAACACAATCAGGAAAAAAGAGGCCACAGTCGATTCCTGCAATGTGCAGCAAATGTTTTTTTGGGGGGATATTTAAACCTCTTACAATGTAATGTAACTGGAATTAAATATTTCGCTTACGATGATTTGTGAAAATCATTAAGCTTCTTTGTCCACTTGTCCCTGATAAAACTAGCATAGATTTCTATGATGACTCAAGCCTTTGGAGTCTGAGCTGTCCACTATGGATTACTCAACAATATGGTTATCAAAGCAACGTATAGTAACACAATGCGTATCAAGGGTTCTCAAAGAAACACAGGTGCCACACTTTTGTGTAAAACTGTGAACAAGTTCATATATACAAGCACAGGCTTTGCGCTTGGTACATATGTTAAACGTTAAAACAACTAAATGTTTCACACACGCTATGCTCATTTCAGATGTAACGTACCTCCTCCGTTGCTGAAGCATAGGTAAGGGAAACGCCAAACATTGCCGAGCCCTACAGCGTAGCTGACGCAGGACAGCATGAAGTCCAGGTGATTGGACCAGTTGCCCCGCTCCTGGTTCTCATCCATCTTGGAATCAGTCTTGGAATCGGCCTTGGCCTTGACTGGGCTGTCATCTTCATTGACCAAAGCCACATGGTTCTGGAAGAAATGAAATGGGGTACCATGTTAGTGACTTCTTGGATTCACGTGTCCTCAAATCTATATGATGCAAGCAATGGGAGTTACCCCTCCCCTTCCCCAGTTTCTAGTCAGAGGTTTGTTGTTATCTTCAGGATGTCCTGCAGGCTATTTTGGAGATGACATTGTCAGAATAAAACTTCCATTATTTTTACAACTTAACATTAATTTCAAGGCAAAAATTGGATGTCGAGTTTTCAAATGCTGGATCACGCCAAAACTCTTTCCCCGTCCACACGACTTGTCTTAGCCATTTTAAGGGCTTAGCAACAGAGCAACACGTCACATCACTCTAGAGAAAAATGAGGGGTGGACCTAGGTGTATCACTTAAAATATTTGTCAACACAAAGTAAAATAGCACCAATGCTAAATGACCGAGGACAAATTGCAACTGGGAGGAAAAAGGGAATTTGAAACAAGAAGCAATGGGAGAAAAATGCAAGACCATTTCCCCTCTACGGTGTCATCCGTCAACACACAAGAGAAACAATTTCATGCAATGCAGCAATTTTTGACAAAAATCATTCTTACACAACATAAAATATTAACAAACGCAGAACCACGTGTGGCCAGGCACAAAAAAACTGTACAGTACATGTAGGTTGAAATCTTTTGCTACAAACACATTTGGGAGCATGCAGCTGGCAACATTTAGCCTCAGCAAGTGAGCACGTCAACGAATAAACTAGGTCTCTCTCCTTTCATCTAGAAATGACATAATCTTCAAAGCCCCGGACACCAATTTCATGCAGTTACATGTACTTTAGCTTTGCAAGAAAATGCAAAATGCAGACAGATTTCAAGGCTTGCTCTGGCACAGCCGTGGACAACCAAATGGGGGAGGGAGGGAGGAAGGAAACAGCACCTCTTGCAGCTTTCTACGGACAACACAAATCAAAATTGACAGCAAAATAAATTGATGTACAACGGGAAAAGATAAGCGGGCAAAGGCGTGCTGATTTGAAGGTTTTACCGCGAGCGCTGCCTTGGTTGTGCCGTTTGACGCTCCGTCATCCAAACAATGGCCATCCATGTCTGCTATTTCCTGGCGAGAAGTAAAAAAGTTACCGTGGAGGAAAACAAACCAGAAGTTACGAGAGAGAAAATGAAAATGAGGTTACAAAACTTGTGGCACAATGGAAGAAGCAAGGGGGACGGATAAGGGTTCACATGAAACTGTGTACCTTCCCTTCTGGCTGCATGGACTAGACTAACTGTCTATCTCATGAATACAACTGCTATAATACAACTTTTGTCTAACTTTACTTTAAAAAAAAACCGGGTGAGCCAGGTTGCAGGATGATTCTCAGGAGTACCTCAGGGTGACTGCTCTAGCTTTTGTGCTGAACTTGGGCTGCTTCATCTACATGTACACACAACCCCTACTCTCATGCATCAAATGATGCTTCCTAAGAAAAGAACCAGGCTAGTATTCTGTCAGCTTAAAGAATGCTATCCTAAGCAGAGATACACTGGCTGACCCAATCTCGTCTAGGTCAGGCAGGAGGCCGTGCCTCTCTGAACTTCCCAAAATTCCCAAAAGCATTAGGGGGACGAGAGACCTTTAAACAAGCAGACTCGCTGGAGGAAAATATGACTAAACTTTTTCATCTCCTGAAGCAGAGACAGTTGCCACCTTTGTTTTGAGAATCGATCGAATTGTACATCAACGCTCTGTCAGACAATTTCCTACTTCCATGGTCGGACTGAAAAAATCCACTGGGCAATACAAAGATGACACAATCTTTTTGGTTAAGGGTTGATAGACTGGCCTAGATAGCTGAATTCACAAATGCCAATGCTAGGCCAGCTTCCATTCCATTGCTTCGTCATATAATTATATCCAGCATATGGAAAGCTGCTTTGAAAGGCTGGTCTCTGGTAAAGCCATTGAAAAAAGAAGGCGTGCACACATATATGGATACTTAGTCTGCTTGCTGACGGTGCAATTCATTCAGAGTTCACCACAAGGTCTTTCGAAGACCAAAGGGGAGAGAGGAAAATTGCACTGTCTGTACCATTTGAGAATGAGGTAAAAAGTTTAAAACTTTTTACGGCTCTCTGTGCATGCAGGAAAAACAAAAGACATCTCTACCCAGGGAGTGTGTAAATGATGCGTGCTCAGTGTTATTAGTCATGTATTAACACATGTATTAAAGGGTAACGTGTAAGTATTTCCCATGAATAAATATGAACTCTAAATTCCTGTGAGGCACAGGCCATATATATTGATCTCGCTTCTATTTTTGGTTTGTTACATGTGCTGATAATTAACTATTCAACCAATAATTGAACAGAAAAATTGCCGCTAAATTTAGAGTGGTATCATTCCTGCGGCCACTATGAAGGATGTACTGAAATGTAAAAGATACAAGTCCAAAAAGCAAAATCCTGTCAGAGTTATTTTTTTTTTTGAGACAGTTATACTGTGAAAGTTTGTTACTATGAGACCTTGGGTATGATCAACAGGTGATAATATTTGCAAAACCACATTTATCGGCCAATTGATTCGTCCAATTTTGAGCACTGTGGTTCTAGTACATGTAGCTATATTTGACATCCATGAAGAGACTTCCTGGGGTTGTCTGATGGGCAAACCAGCAAAAAGGTTTGTAGTGCCAAAAGCAAAAGGCAACACTCCCCCAAAAGCTAAATAAATAAAAATAATCAGAAACTCTCTAAACAACTAACTTTGTCAGGCAGCGACATCGCTGACAACCCCAACACCACAAAACAGAGGGATTCTACGGTAACATGCTACTAATTTTATCCGACAGATATGACCAATCCAGCTTGACGGGATTTCCCTCCAACAAGTCCACTCTCCCCATCAGCTTCCAATAATATCAAGATGATTTGCCTTCCTGTGAGCTGCCTGCTTACACCAGTGGGGCCTGGCCTCTTGGGACAGATAATTAATCAGGATTTATGCCCTGAAGGTTTTTTGGCTTGCCATACTTCATCACCAATTTAGGATGAATTACTAAGACAGTAGGGAAATCTGGAGTGTATTTATCTCTAGGATAGTTACCAATGAAGGCAAATTGAAAGTTACCAGCTTTTTATGTCGACAAGGAAAGAAAACTCGCTCTTCATGTGCATTACAAAATGGTCGCCACTTTGTATTATGACCAAATGTAGACGGATACATTTTGTTCCAGATTTTCCATCATTCAGGCATGCAATTTGAACTTTGACAGAAACGAAGAAATCAAAAAGTCTTTACAAGACTTTGCACAGTGTTTTTCGACTTTCAATGGCATGAGTGTGAAGCGAAAAACGAGGAAATCAGGTGATCTGAGAAAAACTTACACGCATGATCATTAAGCAAGCACCTACAAACTCAAAATGCGATTGAAATGACTGTGGTCGAATTTTGCTTATGTGAATTCGTACACCTACATCTTGGCATCCATTCGAGACAAAAGCAGCACAATGTACCAGAACCACTGTATGACTAACAATTTCAGTAAATGGAAACATTTGCGGGCTACCCAAAACTACAGGGAAAACAAGTCGGCCAGGGGCCCCGACTACAGGTGTCCTGCAAGTCTCCCCTTGGCAATATCCTGTCTGCTGCTACTACTACTCCCAGAGGAGCAGAGACCAGGGAACACACAGGTGACCCACATCTCTGGACAGGGCAGACACTTCAGCAAAAACCTGTAATGATAGACAACGCAATTTTTCCTTCAGGTGCCAGCCTAACTTTAGGAGTGGCAAGATTTACCGACTGTTTTTCCTTTTTTGGAAACAGACCTTGCAGTTGTTATTAACAAATAGGTACTGAATCAGAGAGATGTACGTCAAACTGAACAGGTTAAAAAGAAGGCAAGAGGTCGGGTTGGGAGAAACAACATGTACATGTACAGCACAAAAAAAAAAGTCTGACACCAGGTGCAGCCCCAAAACGGGAACAATGTTTTGGTATCGCAAGGATAGTAACGAACAGCCAGGTGGAAAACCGATTCTAACTCACAATCAGCATGCATCTCACCCTACTGGTTCCAATTTGTTCGGGACAAATACACCTTAATGCAAAGTTGCTTCTCCTCTCACTCTGTGAGCTATTGTTGTTGGCTTCATGCATAAAAGCACACAGGTCGCTTCATAAAAAAAAAAATCCTTTTGATATGAAGTACAAATGCATCTACTGTTTAGTTGCCAACTTTACCCAGAGGAAAGTATTTGAAAGTGTGAAAAAGTCTGCACATTTCTCTTAACGGGTTTCTCTTACCAAGGAACGATGGTGCCTGTTACCCTACTGAGACCTCTTTCTAAAGTTCCCAAGAAAAGGCCCTCCCGCTTTCAGCACCAACAAACTGTTACAGAAACTTAACAGTTGTTACACAACTTAAACTGTAGCCAAGCAGATAATCATAAGGAAATGAACCCAAACCGTAACTCACTCAGAGTTGAATACCAACCCTACATTCATCAAAAGCCCCAGATCTGTCCCTAAGCCAGGTAGCTACATTGTAGCTCTTGTGTATTCTGGATTTGTGACATTCATAACCAATCAAACCCTCCACCACTCTTGTTAGGGCTGCTCGTTCATGGTACCCAGTAGGCCCTTATTCGGTCATAAATCTACATCAAGAGTGAGTACTGGATACTGAGTCACCTGGTTGGCACTGTGCCAACACAATCCGTTGGGCTGCAAGGTGGAAGCAAGGAATCAACTTCAGCCAGAATCTCTCAACAAGAACTAATCCCATTCTCAAACAACAAAATCGGCATTAAAAATGAATCTTCCAAAAATCCAGGCCTTTGCGTGAATGTTTCATCACCAAGCACTCCTTTCCATAAAACACAATTTCCAGACACGGCCCGAGCAGATCCTTGTCATCATCATTTCATTCTTCATCTTCTCTCCAACTAAAGGTGAATAAGCTAAATTCACAAACAAATCAAAAACAGTCACATATAACTAGCCTTCTGGCAATGTGAGGGATTTTTCCCAAGTAAAAGAAAACTCCTCTCATTCAGCTTTCAGACAGGAAACCAGAAGGTGATATCTCTAATTTGCAAATGGAAGTTGTAAAAAAAAAGAAAGAAGAAAAGCACTTGTTCACACATGTACATGGAAGCGACTTCCTGGATGACAGTGTACATGTATTCTCTTAACGGAGTCATTACCACAAAGAGCCTATATACTTACAATATGGTATCGGTTAAATATCCACACAAATATTTATCAGCCTGGGTGGAGTCTGTCTTGATGGATGGCTGCAGTGTTGAACTGCTTCCCGAAATAATTCCCAGAGTATATGTGTGATGAGTTTGTTTACAAGCATATGCAAAATTGCAAATCAGCTCCATAAATGGCAAGGATGCAAGAGCCAATCCGGAGCATGGGCCAGTGGGCTATGACGATGCCAATGAGCCCCAGGATCCATAAGATTGGCGAACAGTCGCTCAATCATTAACCATCAAACGTATCAACAGAGGCATCTGCTGACGATTTGTTGCAGCCATGTGCGTTGCGTATGCATGAGTGATATTGTACACACGTCAACGATAGAGCAAACTGCAGCACTATCTATAGCACCACTGACGCAACTGATGAAGTCACCGTTACTGGCTTCATCTTGTGAATGGTTGGTAGACTGCCCAATTAATATTAACAGTCATACATGTGCGCCATTAAGAATCCTGGCGGACCGTATAAAGGCACGTTTCCACGGAAAATCAGTTTCTATGGAAACAGTTCCAAGAACTTATACAACAACAGCATGAGTACGAACTCGGAATCTGGATGCAAATTCTTGATTTTCCAATTTAAAATTTCAACCATACACATGGAAAAGAAGGGAATGTTACAAGATATGATAAAGCCCAACTGTGCTGCACATTCTGCATGTATACACACACATATAGGGGACAAGAAAATATAGGTTTTCCAGGCCAATTTTGGAAAATGCGTAAACGAATTAGTACTAGCAGCATTCGTTTTCAAGCGAAATGGAATGAACGTTCAAATCCTGTTTCTTTTTAACTCATTACAATTCTATTTCAAGGAGGGTGTATTCAGTTGTACAGAGTCAGCGTTCAGTTTCCAGACATTGCAGTGGTTTCGTATATTGACATTCATTTTTGCGTGAAATTGAATGCACTTCTGCAATCCTGCATTTTGCAAAATATGCAGGCAATTTTGTCTGTGTTATTTAAGGTTTGCCTGGTCAAGAATGGGAATCCGTTTGTGTACTAAACAGAAATTACATTCTTAGAAGCGTTTAGTTGATTGGTCAGATGTTTGAATATTCATGATTGAAATAAACCATTCATATTGTCATTGCAAACTACCAACTGCTGCAGGAAACCTATCAACACCGGCACTGAAGGACCTTCCTTCTTGTGCTGCGTTTCAATCATAGGAACCATTTTATTTACAATTTGATAACAAATATACCATAAACATTCATGAGTAACGTGAAAGGAACCTCTCTATTGAAACATGGTGCATATTGAAGGATGTAAAATGAAGTCAAATGCTTGTTAAATTGCAAAAATTAAACCAGGTTTTAAGTTGTTTTTGAAATCTACGCTAAATTGGAATTTTATTTTACAAATTAGATTGCGCATTTTCAAAAATTGGCTGGGAAAACCTATATTCTCCAATTTCTGTTTGCATCATTTATCAATTCTCAATAAGGATATTGGAATGTCAATTCAAAGTAAAAGAAAAACTGCATCTAAGAACCAGGTACACACTACTTTCCAATATTTCTTTCAGTGCACTACCAGTACATGTGCGTAAATGTATTTAACAAACTGTACAGAAAACCTAAAGAAACCGTTTTTTTTCCAAAAATATCAAGTCAATATCCCTAAAATATGGAAAGTATGTCCAAACCTAAGGAATGTTTAAAAGAAAACATTTCAAGTTTAGCACTTTCGGTGAATTTGTCTAAGTAATGTCTCGTCACAAAGGATAAACTAGTTTATTTAAAACCAAAACAATGCCTACATATATGTAAACACAGTGATAAATGCTGGTATACAGTGTACATGTACAGTTTTAGCATCAAAACAGTACCTTTGTTGGTACTTGTAGACAAGAATTCTGCAAGTCATGCATACTGGTACTGGGGCATGCCACCAAAAATCTGTCCAGTACTACTGTTTGCTCAAATGTCCAAACAAATAGAACTAAGACTTTGTGTACCTAATGGCAGCGATCTTGTGGTCAGTTGGCCAGCTCCAATAACACTCGGGAGTTGAAGTTGAGTACATGTACATATAAATGTAAGTTGGAATGCCAAATTTACTGCCAGATATTGAGCTGGTTTGTTTTAGATAAAGCTGGATAATACACACACTGAACAGTAACCAAGAAATTAAAGACCCTTAGACAACCTGGTCTAAACTACGTTTTTGAAAAGTGCTTGCCCTGCACTTCTGAAGTACACTTTTTAAAAAACTTCTTTAAGTTTTCTACTCTTGCGGTCATATTTAGTTTGCAGTCAAAGTTTTGCTTGCTTTCTTCTGGACATGCAGCTCCAAGCCAAAAAAAAAAATGCTTTGGAGACTGCTGGACTGACCTCAATTAAAATCGATACCGAAAAGATGAAACCTGGATGTACATTTGTATCGGGTGCTGCTTGACGTGAAAAGTGTCGCAGAGTTCAGTGAAACCAGTATCCTGTTTGCTTTGACTGAATGAGGGGGAAGTACCTCCCACAAGTATGTTTATTTGTGCTGTGAGCATACGCAGGCATATGGAAATTGAGGAATAAAGAAAGAACTTTTCATGGAACTATGTTATGGTGGAGTACATTTCCGTCTACCAGTGTTGGCTTGAACGCACGGGGAAAAAAAGACTTCAATCCAGTTTCACACTGCCCAACAGTAATTTTCAGATATGTCTTGTTTCTGTTTGGGTGCAGCATTCCTTTGAAACAGTGCAGGGCCACAACATTTGACCCTAACCTTGAAAGTCTGGAGACATTTCTTGTATGAATCGACAGGCTAAGCTACATGTACAAGTACACTTGATCATGAATGGAACATTCGACATACCTACATTCATTTTGCCTTGTAGGTTGTAATGGAACATCCAATACATGTAACCAAACCAGTACATGTAAACATTATCTGCTTTGTCCACAGAAATTTGTTTTCGTTTCGGCACTGGTGCAGGGCAAACAATGAAAGGGAGAGAAAAAAACTACTGTTCTTATTTTTCATCAAACTTTTCCGAACAGAAATGGCTGGTCTTGAAATGCCGGTATAAAGTTACTGGATCCAATAGTCCTAGTTGCAGTTTGATAAACCTTATCAGTATCACTGTGATCACATTCATAAGTACTTGAGCAAATTTCAGCTGCTAGACAGACTCAAGTGCCTCATGAATGGCTGGACACATCGTTTTCCCACTAATCTTTCTCACAATATTCAGGTCTACATTTGTTGATTTCTGCATTGTCACTTCAGCTTTTTCTTACAATGTCACTCCTCTTTTTTTGGCAGTCTTTGATGGCAGCTGAAATAGTACTTTTTTGCTATTCTCCTGCCTTGCTTTATATGTTAAATATAAGACCTTTCCCCCAAGAGGTCTTGAATATTTGCCAAATTCTTAGCTTCCCTGTAAGCCTACACACTTTGTATATGTCAATACTTGTTGATAGTGGTTTTGATTTTAGATTTAGATATGTATTCATCACCTAAAAAGAAAAAATTAAATACGCGTGTGTTCCTTTCCACAAAATCAACAAAAAGTACCCCTAGTAACTCTTTATAGAATAATGCATGCACAGTTGGGCCAAATATACACAAGTCACAGCATCCATTCTTTGGGAGCCAGCCTACCAAAAAACAAATCAAAAAAATTAAAAAGCTGAACTTTGGCACACTGAACTTCCAAAATACAGTGACAGTGCATTTCATTGTGCACCCTTGTGGCACGGTAGAGTTTTATTCATCCATTCTGTAACAGCTAGACCCGTTACATGTACCCGTCAAGGATGGGAGGGGGACCTGCAGGTACCCAGGTAACTCTTAACATTAAGGTAAAAAAGCAAACACCGATGACTTGTCAATAACCCCTCACGGGAAAAAAAAAAAATCGTTGGACTTGGGACAGAGGTTACAAATGAACAGGGTAGTGTTCAGCTGATGGAATTTTTTTACCATGCAAGCTTGGGCTTCAGACGATAGGGATTTAACTGATGAGCTTTTGTAGGTAAGATACAAAGCGATCAATAATTAACTCATGAAAGGTTAATTTTTTTCTCTGAAAATGATTACTTTGAGTTTTTCAGTGTCTCAATATGAAAAAGCACAAACTTCACACCTGTGGCACCTGTTTTTACCTTCTCAGTGAAAGATTAAACCAAAAGGTTCCACATTTCCCAAATGGAGAAAAACAAAAATGCACCAAACACCAAAGTCTAATTTTAGAAATCCAGTGAGCGGTTCAAAAAAAACCTGAAAAGAAAATTGCATTTCTCTTTTTACCACATTATAAGCTGCTTTTAGACACAATAAATATCCATTTCAAATTTTGCTCACTGTGATCCGTGGATTTGTTCACAGATGATTCTGGAAGTTCCACACAAAAAACCAAGAAGAAATTGAATTGAATATTGAATGCAGACAACTGCATTCAATAGCACAGAAAATATTTACATGTGTCGACCTCCCCAATTTTTGATATACTCCAAACCTGTTACAATTTAACTGGTATCACTGCATATGTCAAAACTGAGCTTTCCAATTAGTACAAACAAACTCAAATAATATAATCCTGGGGTTTTCTCTGATCTTCTTAATGCTTCAACGGGTTGAAGGCATTCACAGATGCCATGGCTGACTGTTGTGCATTAAATAGGTTAATGTAAGACCACATGAACTGAGATAACATTTGAGCAGGGCTTGGCTGGTTCATGAACCCTGTGCTGGCTGACAGACCGCAGTGGAAATTTCCACTTGCTAAGGTTATGTGTATATTAAAGCGTCTGCCAAGTAGAGCAGGCTGTCTGCACATCCGAGGAAGAGATGGGGGGCGGGTCCATAATTATTCCAGCCTGCGTGCGTTCCACATTCTCCACATGTCTCCACCGCTTTGCAATTCAGGGCAGGCTGGAATAAAGATGATGTTTCTCTTCACCTTCTGAGAGCACCGAGATGGAATACTCAGACGGCGAGCGAGAATAGAGGATCATGCCTACCGAGTTGCCAAGGACAATGCGGTCCTTTATCCTGGGACTGCATCAGAAGGTGCTAATGAGCAACTGCAATGTAGCTGAATTTTTTATCAACTACATATCGATGCATTTGACACGGTCTGGTTACCAGCAGATGAAACGACAGCTTTTTTAATTGGAGTGATTTCATTTCATGCAACAGGGCATCATCGGGCCACTTTTCAATTTCAACACTGACATTTTCATAAA